CTATAAAATTCCTACACATTCATGTATACGTTAAGCAGAGAAGGGAAAAAAACGAAATGGGAAAGAAATCAGCGTGTATTTGACATTTCAAATATATAACGCCAAAGAACAGCTTGTATAGTAAATTTTACTGAAAGCATGATGTGTTCATACCATGTATGCAACATGTACGTGATGTATGAGCGATCAGGCCTGTCATGGAAAGAAACCAAACTTACTAATTTTCAAAATATAAGCACGTTTAACTTATTTTTCATCTTGACATTTCAATGTTAGACAATTTCTTCGTCTGTACAAAGTACTCAATGGCTTATGAAAAATAATGAAAGTAATCGATTTTATTCATTTATTTTAATTAGGACAAAAATTAATCGCTCGAAAGTCCCAAATATTCCCGCTATATAGTATTATACTATCAAAATTGTTAATTTGTCTACAAAGATATGGATGTCTGAATTTATGTTTACTGTGTATACACAGACTACAAATCTCAATGAAACTCAGTTATCGATCTTCGTATATATACCCGTAATATTATGTGGTGTTACATAATTAGGTACATGACACACTGTAAATGATACTGTAAATAAATACTGAATATTATTTAACTTGCAAATATTAAATTTTTCATGTTACAGGTACGTTCGCGGTTGTAAAAGTGTTTAAAAGACATTCCAGATTAAGAAAAACAAGCAAATTCAAAGAATTGTGGTCCCCCGCTTTCGGTGTCTTTGTTGGTGGGATGTTATTTCTATGACATATTGTGTCTAATATGAACATCATTTCATTAGTCAATTCTTAGAAATTATCATTAAAGTTGATTTTTTTGAAGGATGAAAACCCTTTATGACCGTTAAAAAGTTATGGCCAAAGTTAACGTTTTTCAAGAGTAGGTCAACTCCAAGGTCAAGATCAAAGGTCAAAGTTGTTGATGAAAGGTTTTCTCATAAGGATTACATATGTGAAGTATGAAAGCCCTAGCTCTTACCGTTCAAAAGTTGTGGTCAAGTTTTTACATAAGAATGTAAATCTTTAAGGTCAAGGTCAAAAGGTCAGAATGTTTGATATCCAATGAAAAGACTTGTCACAAAGAATACATATGTGAAATATAAGAGTCCTAGTATCTACCGTTCAAAAGTTGTGACCAAAGTTAAAGTTTTTTTAAAAGTAGTTAAAACTCTAATGTCAAGGTCAAAGGGTAAAAGTTATTGGTATCCAATGAAAGGTCTTCTCAAAAAGATCACATATGTGAAGTACGAAAGCCCTAGCCCTCACCGTTCAAAGGTTATGGTCAAGGTTAATGTTTTTTCATAAGTATGTAAATCTCCAAGGTCAAGGTCAAAAGGTCAAGGTTGTTGGTACCCAATGAAATGTCTTGCAAAAGAAATACATATGTGAAATATAAAAGTCCTAGTATCTACTGTTTAAAAGTTGTGACCAAGGTTAAAGTTTTTAAAAAGTAGTTAAAACTCCAAGGTCAAGGTCAAAGGGTAAAAGTTCTTGGTATCCAATAAAAGTTCTTCTCACAAGGATTACATATGTGAAGTACAAAAGCCTTAGTTCTTACCGTTCAAAACTTATGGTCAAGGTTAATGTTTTTTCATAAGTACGTAAATCTCCAAGGTCAAGGTCAAAAGGTCAAGGTTGTTGGTATCTAATGAAAGGTCTTGCCACAAACAATACATTTGTGAAAAATGAAAGTCCTAGTACCTTCCATTCAAAAGTTGTGGCCAAAGTAAAAGTTTGAAATTTCTGTGTAAAAGTGGGTCAAACTCCAAGGTCAAGGTCAAAAGGTCAAATTTGGTGGTACCCAAAGAAAGGTCTTGTCACAAGGAATACACATGTGAAATATGAAAGTCATAGCTCTACTAAATCAAAAGTTATGGGCAAGGTTAAAGTTTTTGTGACGGACAGACTGACAGACTGACAGACGGACAGACTGACAGACGAATGAGATTTAATGTCCCCTCGCTTTCGCGAAAGCGGGGGACAAAAAATGACTACGATAACAGGTCAACTTAAAATTCGATGATGAAATTTAAAATGTTTTTTAAAGACATTATTTGAAACGATATCAAATGAAATCATGTTGTTTATTCCATTTAAATGCTTTTTTAAAGTATGTTATTTTTTTCATCTAGGGAAAATCAGGGAAAATATCTCGCAACATTTATAAAATATGTTTATTTATAATGTTATGCAAACTTTAAAAATGTTTCCGTAACATTTCAAGAGAAGAATCTTACAATACTATGCTAAAACTTTATGAAAAAAAAATATTTGAAACCGTTTGGGGAAAATAGACAAAATCAAGATAAAAACATTTTGAAAACCTTTATATTTTGTTGAAATTTTGATGATGGAATAATATTAATATTATATAAATATTGTTTGATTCTGAATTATTTCATATACCAATAAACAAAAGATATTTTTCCATAAATTTAGATTTTTATTTTCTTAAAATAATTTCAAAAGAAACCACATAATCTTTTTAGTTCCCATTAACGGCGGCGTCTTTATACATGTACGTAACACCTCCCTATGTAGGGTATCAGTTGGGATATGTGTGCCTGATCCTAGTTGTTGTTTTAACAATTTATGACATGTTTTAAAGATATATTTGACAGTAGCTGGAGATCTTTTGAACATTTCAAAATATATATCATCAACCTGAGAAGATTAGATTTTGCCCCCCCCCCCATCACCACACACACAAGAAAAAATAACTAATAAAAAAATTGATAAGAAATAGAAATAAAAATGAATATTGTAAAGATTTATTCTTATTCGTCTGTTATGAAAAAAATCCATCAAAGTATATCTTTATGACAATTTTTATTATATATATATACATAAAAATTTAAATTCGGATATAGCTTGACATATTAAGTACTTTATGCTTAGAATAATCACTATAATAAAATAATTTGTTGAGATCCCGAAAAAAAATAACCCAAGTCCCGAATCGTCTTTACCCAAGTCCCGAACCGTCTTGTCGCTAGTCCCGAAACGTCGTATTAGTCAGGTCCCGAAACGTCGGGGTCCCGAAACATAGGCGGATCCAGGAATTTGTAAAAGGGGGGGTCCAACATTTTTACCTATTAGGTACTGTTTGCAACATCTACCGCTCCCAATTTTCACCCCACTTTGTTTGTGTACTGAGTACATGTAAATGATCTAAAGAAAATGTCTACTTCATGGCTTGAGAATTAAAAAGAAAAGCCCCCCCCCCCCCCCATTTTGTGTTTGAACTCAGAGCATAAAGTTTGTACTATATACACACAAAGGTCACATCGTCAAAAAATGCCAAAAGTGAAGATAATTTTATTTTTTCTCTATATATTTCATTGAATACAACATTTTGTAAAATCATAGTGAAATGGTCAAAATAATGATTTATTTCATAATAAACCAGAAAATGTGTAGTTAAGACGTTTAATATGTAGTAAAATATAGTTCATCACTAAACATCAGTTCTAAAATTCAAGATCAATGTTGACTATATAATTCATTGTTAGTATATGACTTAAAAATTTATGTCACACTTAAATTACAATATTTTTAAATTATCAGATAAAAACTATTGTTTTTTTAAACTACAACAACATCAAGAAATTTTTGATATATACCAGCGATTTTAAAAAATATTGTTTTCAATGAAATATTATCAAATATATAAAGAAAAAATAAAATTATCTTCAATTTTGGCACACAACTGTATATGTTAGCCAATGTTCATGATACATTGTAACAACCAGCCTTCCACATGTATTTGTGTTACATACTCTCTCTGAAGATAAAACTCAATGGTAGACCCCTCCCCTACACTGTGCCGTTCACAAACTTGAGAGTTTAAGCATAGTTTGGGGTACAGCAAAACTCGTTTAGTACGAACATGGATATTGCGAATTTACGGATATATCGAAGTCATCTCGGTTCCCAAGCTACATAAATTTAATTAATTTCTACTTCGGTTATAACGAATTACGGATATAATGAAGTAGTTTCATTGGTCCCTGTGACTTCGTTATAACCGAGTTTTGCTGTATTTGTATCAAAATTAATGAAATTGATAATCACGTACATAACCACCCCCACGTGTAGTTTTGAAACGTGTCGTTTATGTGATAAATATAGTATAATAGGCCCCTATGTGTTTTATGAAAAAATATGCAAAAAACTGAAATAGCTGCAATGCTTGTTCTACTGCCTAACCCTTTCATGAACTGAATATTTGATAAACAAAGTTTTTTTCAGATCACAGGGCTTCTTATAAATTTTGTACTTAATCTGTATGTTATAAATCTATTCATGGCTTGAGAATTAAAAATAAAAGCCCCCCCCCCCCGTTTTGTGTTTGAATTCAGAGCATTAAGTTTGTACTAGGCCTATATAGCTGCGCTCGCTGCAACGGTCACACCGTCAATATATTACTGTATATGTTAGCCAATGTTCATGATACATTGTAACAACCAGCCTTCCACATGTATTTGTGTTACACGTGAAACAACCTTTTTCAAAATCGTCGTCAGACGTGTATGACTCAGCCTAAGAATCAAACAGTTGGCTAGTAGCCTAGTTCAATATAAACAACTCTTAATAAAAAAAGTAAAAGCTTACCATAATATTTATGAATTATGGACAGTTTAATCTTCATGCCTTACTGGAAGCAGCTTCAGAGTTATTCTAAACAAAACTGTATACGTACAGCGCTGATGTTTCCGATAAAATCTCATCAACTTTCTATTTCTTTACTTTTCTTTTTTTTCTTTCCTTTTTTTCTTGAGTTATATTTCTAATTTTTTTTTTTGGGGGGGGGGGTGTATACATGTTTTTGGTCCGCGAAAAAGGGGGGAACCCCCCCCTGGATCCCTGGACCCCCCCTCTGGATCCGCCCTTTCGCATCGTGCACCCCTCCAAAGACCGAAGCATCTATTCCCAAATTCAAATCGCCCGCGTTGCAAATAGCTCATAAAGGGGTGTGTATCTTATCAACGAATGAAATCAAAGAGGAACAAGGTGAAGGCCATCTGTTTCCAAATATTGACCAGTGTCAACTGACATGTAATGTAGATCTAGTGCTTCTTCTGTAGGACTCGTTGCAAGATGACAGAGAAGAAACCACATGTTGCTGTAATTGGTGGAGGTCTGGTAAGCTGTCATTCATTAATATCGTTAAGTGATGCATTTCATGTACTTTTGCTTTACAACTGGGCCTAAGTTTATTTAATCCCGCTTTACGTAAACTGGACAGTGAACTGGTCAACTTCACATGGAATAAATTTAGAAATTTCCTATAATATTTACATATTATGTAACCTGTACGTGTTAGGCCTATTACCCATAGAGAAGTGCTGCAGGCCCACTGAAGGGAGTATACCGACGTCCGCAGGTGCATACATGTGCACGAATTTCATTAAATACTAGATATAATAATAATAACAACGTTCTGCGCACTATTCTGCTATCAAATGCAGATTTTTTTTTTATTGTCACGAAGTTTGTATAAATTAAATCTCAAGATGGAAATATCTTTTTATATCATTGTTATAACACTTAATTAATTTTATCCTCTCCTTATTTTTACCTTCTCCAATTAGTTGTTAACTTGTTGTGCATGTTTCAATGTTTTTTTTTTTATTTAAAAAACAAAAATTCAGAGCATATTGTAAAACCTAAAAGTTATAGACATATGCTATGATATGCTGATTTATGGATTATTTAACAAAAACTTTTACTTAACTTTACTGTAATAATAATATAATTAAAAAATTCAAACAAAAACCTTCCTGTTCTAACAATAGCAAACTGTGCATTGTTTTTTGTTTTAGTAATACCATGTCTTTTGTTATATGAGATAAGATTATAAAAGTATAGCATATAATTTGGGGGAAAAAAGATATGTTGTACCGTTTTTTACATCAAGGTCAATCCCAAAGCTGTTGAACCAGTCTACCTGATGGTCATGTGATTCTCACTGATTTGAATGAAATATAGCCTATAGTACACGTTTTTGTTCACTTGTCATGAGGCTTGCAACTCAACATTCATGAGGCACCACATAATTATACATAATTTGTCAGACTTGTAAAAATTCCTTAGATGTGTCAGTGTTTTATAAATAATCATGCATGCATGTTCACATATTTTTAAATATACTGCCTATTATGAGATTTATATTCAATTGTTTGTAACAATTAATGAAGAATGTATTTTAGTCAGCTTATGTAACATGTTACAAGTTGTTTTGTGATTTCTTGAATATATGTTTTCATGTAAATTGACACTAAATAGTATTAGTTTATTAAAGTCTTTCATAATATAAATAAACGTTATTAATTTTAGTAATACTGAAAAAGACCATCAAACATTCTTCAGTTGGTTATGAAAGATCAATTTATAGCTAAAAGATTTTAAAATAATCTGCCACAGTATAGGACCTGCCATGCAGACATTTAATTACTTTATATATTTAGCTCACCTGAGCCAAAGTCTTTAATGTCCCTCCATTTGTCATCTGCTATTTGTTTTGTAAACTAATTTTCATATTTTTTGGACTTTTCCAAAAGCAGTGGAACATGAATGGGTCAATCCTTTGAGAGAAAGGATTTCAAGTTTGTTCATGATGAAGAGCCAGTCTGTTTTTCAAGGGGAAATAAAAGAATAGCTTAATTTAATTGGTGGTATTTTTAAAAACAGGTTCCTCTCCATCTTCCCAAGTCAAGAGTTTCTGACCCGTCAAACTTAGCCTAATCGGTCAAGGGTTTTTGATGTGGAGTGGAGTGGATCAGAAACGACAGTTTTTATGAATATTTATTGGGAAAAGTAAATTTATTGAATATTTTATATAATATTAATTATTATATGTAAAAATTACAGGGGCATAGAAATCTTCCTTTACAAATATCTGAGTTTAGGTGACTCGGGAGCATTGTAGCTAATTGTCCTCTTGTCTGTATAGTTGGACTGTGACACCTCGAACACATGCTGACATCTCAAATTTGAAGTCCCAACTTCTTTTTTTTTTTAAATTTATTTTACCCTTGATGTTTGAAATCATTGGATATTCAATTTTTTTGGTCACATCAAGCTTGTCAATGATATAAGGAGGATGACGGTAATTGTTAACATACTGTAAAATCACGTTTTCAAGGGGGTGAAATTTTCGAGGTTTGAGGAAAAAATATTAGTTTGTGGGGACTTGATTTCATGGGTAGAGAATTAATGTTTACTAGTAATGCATATGACCCACTTCTGGTAGAAGACCAGCTAGAAGAGCCTATGCAATAGTTTGGTGTCATTCATTCATCAATCTGTCTAGTGTCCTGTCTGTCTGTAAACAATTTTTCAAAATGCTACTCCTCCTATAGTTTTGGTCTGATTTCAATATAACTTGGGACACAAGTAGACTACACAAAGATACATAATTCTATTTATTGGTTTTTTAATTTCAATGAGTATTGTTGCCATAGATACTAAAAATAGATATGTCTTTGAAATATTTTCAAAATGCTACACATCCTACAGTTTTGGTCTCATTTCAATATAACTTTGCCCCCAAGTACACTAAGATACATAATTCTTTATATTGGTTTTCAATTTCAATGAACAGTGTTGCCATGATTACTTAAAATAGAAATGTTTTTGAAATATTTTAAAAATGCTAATCCTCCTACAGTTTTGATATAATTTCAATAAATCTTGCCAAAATATGACTATTTTTTAACTAATGATCAGTTTTTATTTTATAATTGCTGTTGCAAGTAAGTTTCAAATTCAAATGCTACTTTTCTCTTCCTTTGGTATACCGGTAAGTATAAACCAATAGAGCTACAGTCTCATCAGAGACTTCTGTTTTATTGTATGTGTAGGTATTAAGGTTGACACTTTTCTTATATTATACTGTGAGTTTATTCTCATTTTGCTTTTTTGTTCTTTTTAGGTTGGTGCACTGAATGCCTGTTTTCTGGCTAAGAGGAACTTTAAGGTTGATGTTTATGAGAGGAGAGATGGTGTGTAATTTTAATGTTTTAGCTCACCTGACCTTAAGCTTCAGTGTGATTTTCTGATCAAACTTTGTCTACTGTTTGTCATCATTGTTGTCATCTTTTAAAATTTTCACAATTTTATTTTATCCAGAGCACTTTGACAATATCAAGCAGAAATTGGTAAAGTTAGAGTACTGTTGTCTAGTGCCCTTGGATAAAGGGGATTCAGTTTATTAAAGGAAATGACCTGTGCATTTTAAAAAGTAGTTTATGTATAGACAGTTTTCTGTAACATATTTCACCTCAGAGTTATTCCCCTTAGCCACCATCTTGTAGGGCAAAATAGTGAATTTTCCTCTTTGAGCAACCAATTGTAAACATGCATGCAAGAATTTAAACATATGGGAGAAAATATTTTCTGTCTTAAAATTATGAATTAATACAGGCTTTAACAAACATATCTTCATAAGAAAAATAATGTTATCTTTACCTCAGTAACCAGTATTAACAAATTGAACTTGGTTGAATAATGAAGGGATCTGGCGGCCATGGGGAATACCTCTTGCTTAAATCACCTCAATGGAAATCACACTATAATTAAGAAAAGGCAAACATACATGTATGGTGAGTGTAAAAGAAATCTTATTCTCAAGAACCATAGGACCAAAAAAGATGAAACTTGTTGTGTAGAGTTAAGTTTGTTCACATCATATGGCTCCTAGTGCTAGGATGGGGCCCTTGAGTGGATAGGGGGTCACAATAGGAACAGCAGGGTCAAAAGTTACTCAGGTGAGCATAGTGGCCCATGGGCCTCTTGTTTAGCTTTACTGGTCAGAACTCAGAGGAGCTTATGCATTGGTTATGTGCATTTGAATTTTAAACTATGTAAATCTGTTGATAACTTAACAAAAAATAATACATCTGATGAGTATTCTTGATTTCTATCAGATATTAGGAAAGCTGAACATGTGAAGGGGCGGAGTATAAATTTGGCTCTCTCTACACGTGGTAGAACTGCACTACGAATGGTAGGACTGGAAGAGGAAGTCTTAAAAAATGGAATTCCCATGCACGCTCGAATGATTCACGGAGTGGATGGATCCAGGAATCCAATCCTGTATGGCAAAGAAGACCAGGTGGGATATCGTGTATTTTTCACAAATTTTCAGAATAATTTAATCCTTGTGTTGAATTCATTATTTTGATTTCCTCTAATATTTCATTGTAAATTACACAAGACTTGTATAAAGGGGGAGGATGTTTGAACTTTACCTAGCATGATACTGTGAAATCACTTTTTTTTTACGTGGATGTTTAATTTTTGTTGTTTTTGAGGTATGGACAGACTCTTGAATTCATGACCACATTGAAATGTAAAGTTTTATGTGCATTAATTACTACTCAACACTATCATATCAACACAAACCAATATTTTTCTCAAACCTTGAAAAAATTGGACCCATGAAATTAAGGTAGATAACCTGCATCATCTTTTCAGTACATCATGTCAGTGGACAGAAGGAGACTGAATGAAGTGCTGCTATCAGGTAAATCTTATTCTTATTATAAAATAAAGAATGTGAGAGCATTGATTCATATTTTACATTACTTTATACATTAAGTAACATAAATTCTTTTGGGAACACTGGTAGTTAGATACGATGAGTAGACCTGTATGTTTTTAAAAGGAAACTGTTTAGTTTGTTGGGTATGCCAGGAACATCAAAGATAGTTGGAAACCTGGGATAATTTATGCATAACAGGCAAAGCCATGGACATCAACAATAATTGGAAATGTGGAATAATTTTATACGCAGAATGGGCAAAACCCCAGTAGCAATGAAAATTAAACCTCGATCAACGAAAATTTGTTGATGTCCCTGGCATTCACCATTTATATGCATAAATTATCCCGTCTAATTCATAATCAATAGACATGATGTCAAAATCTGATTTATGAGCTTGGAGGCAGTCTTACAAGTAATATGCATAAATCTGATTCATAAGCATGGGTCTGTTTTATAGGCTGAAGTCTGATTTATGGGCATAAGTATGAATTATAGGCAAGTGTGATTTATAGGCATGAATGTGAGTTATAGGCATTAGTGTGAGTTATAGGCATTAGTGTGAGTTACAGGCTTGAATGTGAATAGTTATAGGCATGAGTGTGAGTTATATGCAAGTGTGATTTATAGGCATGTGTCTGACTTATAATAAGGATGAATGTGTTTTATAGGCTTGTCATATGTCCTGATTTTATATAATTTGAAATTAAATCTTTTGCAGCTGCTGAAGACAATCCCAATGTAACCTGTTATTTTGAACACAAAGTTGTGAGGTGTGACTTCACAACTGGTGAAGTGGAATTTATCAAGTGAGAATCACATACATATATACAGCAGGTAGATTTGTTTGATAATGTAGAAGGATAACAGTTGATTAGAATATATATTTTTTTATCTGTTCATCTATCATTTGACCAAAAATGCATTTTTAACTGTACTGGTCAGAGACCAGAGGAGTTTCTGCATCTGTAAGGTGTACGTTTAATATAATTGACTTATTAATAATTCAAATTTAGATATCTTTTAAAATATTGTTAAAATTATTGCTGCAATTTTAACATAATTTGGCAAGCATTTTTAAATGATAATGAAAATTAATATGGACTGTTGAGCTTACCTGAGTCAATTAAGGCTTAAGTGAGCTTTTCTGATCAAAATTTTTCTGTCATTTTCATTCATTTAAAAAATTTCCAAAATGTTACCTTCTCCAGAAGACTTGGAAAAATCTTCTGCCCAAGATTCACTGTACAAAAAAGATGAAACTTTGTGAACGCTTTATAACGTAATAATTAACATAATGATGATTCAAGTTTGCTGAGATCATAACCCAATGGGATAGGGTTGGGCCACAGTAGAAAATCAGTTTTACAAATATTTTAAGAAGCATATAAAAAAGAAATATGTACATATACTATAAATCTAATCCTCCTACAGTTTTATTCTGATTTCAATTTAATTTTGTACACAATTAGACTACTCTAGAAGATACATGTCTTGATTAATTTTTTTTGAGATTAAAAAAGGGTGTGAAATTTTTCAAGGTCACTGGAAGAAAAATTTCATAATTTGTGTCCAGTATATGTTGATAAATTTTAGCTCATTTCACACAAAGATGCATGACCCAAGGGTGTGATTTGTCATTTGGGGAAAATTTCACTGGAAAAATTTTATTCATGTGTGACACATGTCTTTATTATGGAAAAACTTTTTAGCAATTTTAAAATGTTTACACTAAGATGGATTAGATACATAATTAAATAGATGTATCAATTTTTTGATGGACAAAGTTGCCAAGGTTTCTTAAAATTTAATTTTCTGTGAAATCATCTTTTGAAACGCTACTCCTTCTACAGTTTAAATCAGTGTTAAGTTTAGGGTTGGGAAATTTAAGACCAAAATGTTACATGTTGCATGTGTTCAAGAAAATATTTTTTCCCAGAACATTCATATTGATTATATTTTAAATAAAACATCTAAATGTTGGTGGATTAATTAAAGCTTTGATTTCAATCTCTCTTGACCACAATATTAAAAATTTTGAAATTAATTAAAAAAGAAAATTTTTAATAAAATCTTCTGATGAAGAACTGCTAGACACAGTGACTCAGGTGAGCATTATGTCCCATGGGCCTTTCATTTGATTATGATGTTTCAGCAAAGAGGGGAAAAAAGTGCAGAATAAGGTTGACCTAATTGTGGGAAATGATGGAGCATTTTCTGCTGTCCGTAAAGAAATGATGAGGGCAACACTATTAGATTTCCAACAAGAATACATTCCTCATGGTTATATGGAATTAACCATCCCTCCCTCTCCTAAGGATGAAGTAATTTGATTTTTTATCATTTTGATATTAACAAATTAGCTTATGAGAATCACAAATGTTTATTACACACACATTGTTTTCATCAAGGACTGGAGCTTCTGAGCTTTTGGAAAACCAGCAAAGGTTTTGGCACACTAAAAAAGCTGACAATAGCTGACTGCACTGTTCAAACTTAAGTTAAAGCAGAGTGCAATAATAGTTCACACATATACGTTTTGTACATGGAAAAAAGTCTTAAAAACTGAGTGTAATAACGTGTGTGTACAGTTTCAGATGGAGGTGAACTACTTACACATTTGGCCTCGAAATGAATACATGATGATCGCTCTGCCAAACTTGGATAAATCCTTTACCTGTACACTTTTCATGCCATTTGACATTTTTGCCAGTATTAAAACTGAAGAGGATCTCATGAGGTTCTTCAGAGATAAATTTCCTGATGCCATTCCATTGATGGGAGAGTAAGTAATGCTTATCAGCTAGTACATGTACTACTTTTTCATAGTGGACTGCACATTTTACTCAAAATAATATGAAGATAGTTTTAACAAGTACTTGTTCTTATTTGAAAAAATTGATTTTTCGTCTATTTGAATTTTCCCTCCTTAATTTACGTAGGGAGACTCTAAAACAGATATACATGTCAAGTAAACCCTTACCTATGGTCTCTATAAAGGTAAGTCAAAAATTTAATACACTAGTGCCCTGTTCACTCAGAGAGTTTAAACTGTAGTAAATTAATGCAAAGTAAAAAAAGAAGAGAATTAAATGCTGATTAATTTCTACAATAAGGCTATTATGACATCATTTGAGAAATGTCAAAATCTGATGAGCAAATACATTTGACCACTGATTTGAGGTAATGTGGTTAAGGATTTCCATCCCTAGTGGGACCAAATTCTCTACCACAAGTACTTATCTGATCACTGACCTGTGGCCAGTGACTTAGTTCTGCCCATACGCATCTGTCAAAATTTAATTTGAATTACCTTTGCAAACATGGAGCTAATGCAATCGTGAAATTCTTCATATGAATGTGTGCCTGGGAGGTCACATGCAGGTCAATATCAGGATTTAATTTTCCCTCTATGTCCCATCAAGCCACTAAAATGTTCAACGCTGCCTTGGTATATAATACTGTAAACAGGGTTATTTTCGCCCTGTGTTATTTTCGCCCTTTTGCACTTCCAAACAATTTCGCACTATTTTAAATTCGCCCAGTCATTGTTGTGTTTAAGATTTTTTACTGTGTTTTTTGAATTTGCCCCGTTTCAAATTTGCCTTTAATATATGTGATTTAGGGCAAAAGGGGTGAAAATAAAACAGGGGCAAAATTTTCCCTGTATGCAGTATTCACTGAACCGAAATGGTGAGGTGAATATTAAATTTTTAGGGCTACTTAATCATCATTGACCAAAAGTCAGTGATATTATTATACATGTATATTAAATCGATGATTAAATGATCAAAGCAAACATCACCTAATGCAGGATTTCGCTGTATGACAAATGTAAAATAACCAGTTGTATCAATTTGGAAGTTATTGATCTAATTTTGATCAAATGTTAAATAGAAATCAAATGTTATATTTACCTGGAGGGTCTGCAGGTTCAGGTAAATATTACCTTTTTTTTTTAGAAAGTTGAATTTCAGCTTGTAAGTTGAGAGCTAGAAATCATTTAATAAATAATGTAAATTAATACTCTACATATATATATCACACTTCAGAATTTTGATAAAAGATATATTTGATTCATTGATAAATAATTTTTAAAGCGGTTTTCATGTTTCATTGCAGTGTTCACCTTACCATGTCAAAGATAAGGGGGTGATAATGGGGGATGCAGCCCATGCTATGGTTCCATTTTATGGACAAGGAATGAATGCTGTAAGTCAATTTAAAAGGTAGCAAATACAGTCATTAATTTGATGCAAAATGTGAAATCTTTGCTTTAAAATTCTCTTATAGTCTTATTGCATTGAAAGAATATCTACCATAATACCGGAATGCTTGATGTTCTGCACACTTTATACAAAATTTGATTTGATAAACATAAAAAATATTAACTACACAATGATGTATAAATTGATTTAATTTATACATGTACATGTATTTTTACATGTATTTTTTAAGTACCGGGTACTGTAAACCAACTCCTCTTCATGACCACTTTATTTCTCGATTTACTGGGGATAAACTAGTTTGGGATAATTTATTTTCGTGATCAAGCCTTTTTAGCTCACCTGAGCCAAAGGCTCAAGTGAGCTTTTCTGATCACAATTTGTCCGTTGTCTGTCGTCGTCATTGTCGTTGTAAACTTTTCACATTTTTGACTTCTTCTCAAGAACCGCGGGCCAATTTCAACCAAACTTGCCACTAAGCATCCTTGAATGAAGGGGATTCAAGTTTGTTCAAATGAAGGGCCATGCCCTCATTCAAGGGGAGATCATTGGGAATTAATGAAAATTTGGTGGTATCTTTTAAAAATCTTCTTCTCAAGAACCACTCTGCCAGGAAAGATGAAACTTATGGTGAAACATCCTCAGATAGTGTAGATTCAAGTTTGTTCAAATCATGACCCCCAGTGGTAGGGCGGGGCCACAATGGCCGACCAAAGTTTTACATAGAAATATATAGGAAAATTCTTTAAAAATCTTCTTCTCAAGAATAACAAAGCCATAATTGATCATATTTATATGGAAGCATCCTCAGGTAGTGTAGATTCAAGTTTGTTCAAATCATGACTCCCGGGGGTTGGGCGGGGCCACAATGGCCGATCAAATTTTTACATAGACATATATAAGACAATTCTTTAAAAATCATCTAATCAAGAATAGCAAAGCCATGATTGGTCATGGGACTACTTTTGGATATAAACTATTCAATAATAAACCAATTTCTATTTTTTCCCAGCCAAAGTGCTCAGGTGAGCAATGTGGCCCATGGGCCTCTTGTTTGATCTGTTGTTAATAGACACAGAGACCTTAAGGACCGGTTCATAGTGAGAAATATTCGTGATGAGGAGGCACTTAAGAACATCATGAAAATTTCTCGCACGCGAATAAAAATTGGTTTACAGTTGCTAATGTAAAGTCATCAGTGTCCTAGCTAGCAGTAGCATGTAAAATACTCTGTAGTAATTAATTTTAAAAGTATAAACTGCAAACACAGAGTTTAACTAAAGTTTAAAGTGAGCACAACTTTACACAACAAATTTAACAATTATGTTTTAACTGTTAATGTTGAGCAGGGATTTGAGGACTGTATTGTGTTGGATGAGATGCTGGACAAATACAACAACGATTTCGGTAAGGAGTCAACATATCTTATGTTTATTGTCAGTAATCACTTTAAATGATTTCTCTGCACATGATCAGACTAGAGAACTAGTTGTTTTGTTCTCACTTTTAGCCAAGGCCTTACCAGCGTACTCAGAGTTCAGGAAAGTGGACGATCATGCTATTTGTGATCTGGCCATGTACAACTATGTTGAGGTATTTTTTATCACATACATGTATTGTAAATGTACTTTTTCCACATGGTCAGAATTCTGCGGATTCACAATTTATAATTCAATCCACAGAAAAAAAAATTTAGCAGATTTCCTATTTGCGCCGCTTTTTACCTGTAATAATACTCAATATAATTTTTCTGAAATTTTTGTTTACCACATATGTAGCGTAAATTAATAACATGCAAAAAACTGCTTTTATAGTATTTTGAAACTAAGCTTTTGTTTATCATAAAAGCTTTTCAAATTTGAAATTGAAATGGAGATCTTTTCAGAAGAAGTGATGACAAGAAAAGTCAATTTTAAGAAGTCAAAGTGGAATAAGTTTTTATTTCTTTTAGATGAGGAAGTCAGTCAACTCTAAGTTATTCCTCATGAGGAAGAAGTTAGACAACTTGCTGTTTACGATCTTTCCTAGCTCTTGGGTGCCTCTATACACTATGGTAGGATAATGAAAAAAAAAAACATTTTCCTAACTCTTGGGTACCTCTTTACACTATGGTAGGGAAATTCTATATCATAACACAACTCCTCCCACAGATTTGGTCTGATTTCCATACTTTGCCACAAAAGTTGACTACACTAAACACACATTTCTCTTGATCCTTTTTTGATTTTGATAAACAGTGTTGCCATGTTTACTAACAAGAGGCCCAAGGGCCTTGAATCGCTCTTCTGATAAATTATACAATCTATCCTAAGACCTAAGATGCAACATCTGACAAAGTTTGATGATTCTTAGCCAGTTAGGACTGAAGATATTTAAATGTAACTATAAAATACTATAAGAAGGTCATGGTGACCTACTTTTTGATTGAAATTTTCTGAGGACACAATATGCATTAATTGACAAAGATTGATGATTCTAAGCCAATAAGTACTTAAGATATTCAAAAGTAGGTCACAGTGACCTACTTATTGGTCAACATTCTCCGAAAACCCAAGGTGCATTAACTGACAAGGTTTGACAATTCTAAGCCAATAAGTACCCTAGAATACTTAAATATAGCCATAAATGTCACAAGTAGGTCACCATGACCTATTTTTTGATCATCATTCTCCGAGAACCCAAGATGCATCAAATAACAAAGTTTGATGATTCTAAACCAAATAAGTACCTGAAATACCTAAATATAGCCATAAAATGTCAAAAGTAGGTCCCCGTGACCTACTCTTTGGTCGACATTCTCCGAAAACCCAAGATGCATCTACTGACAAAGTTTGATGATTCTAAACCAACAAGTACCTGAGATACTTAAATGTAGACATAAAATGTCAAAAGTAGGTCACCATGACCTACTTTTTGGTCGTTAATCTCCGAAAACCCAAGATGCATCAACTGACAAATTTTGATGATTCTAACCAATTAGTACCGGAGATACTTCAATCTAGCCATAAAATGTCGAAAGTAGGTCACAGTGACCTACTTTTTGGTCAACATTTTCTGAAGACCAAAGATACATCAACTGACAAAATTTGATGATCATAGGTCTAATAGTATTCAAAATATGCGTTTTAAACGATTTGAAAACAAATGCCTGCAAAGTTCAAAAAGTAGGTCACAGTGACCTACTTTTTGTTAAATATGTTTTAAGGCCCCAAGATGCATCAACTTACAAGATTTGGTGATTCTAAACCTCTCGGTGTCTGAAAATAATGGGATTAAATGTTTTAGAAAAGATTAGCCGTAAAATTCAAAAAGTAGGTCACGATGACCTACTTTTAAGTTGATGTTGTTTGTGGACCCAAGATGCACCAAATGACAAAGTTTTTTGATCATAGGCCTTAAAGTGTCCAAAATATGCCTCCAAAACTATCTGAAAACAAAAGCCCGTAAAATTTAAAAAGTAGATCACCGTGACCTACTTTTGCATTAATATGATGTCAAGTCCTGAGATGCATCAACTTACAAGATTTGATGTTCCTAGTCCTTATAGTAAGCAAAATATCAACGTTTTTAATAAGTGTAAATTTTGGTCAACTTTGAAGTGACCTTGAGACCACGCCCTTTGCCCCAGGGTCATGCCTTGAACAATTTTTAGTCTTCAACATATCCCGACCCTTGTATGTAAGTTTGGTGAAAATCTGCCTGGTGGTTCTGGAGAAGAAGATTTTTTAGCAACCAGTACTTTTGGTTTTATTTTCGTGATTATCTCCCCTTGTTTTAGGGTCCCACCCGTAGTTTTAATAAAAATGGTAGCCCTTGGGCCAAGGATACCCTGTGACAAATTTGACAATAATTGGCCAAGGGGTTCTTGAGTTATGGCCAATATTCTAAAAAGTTAACGCACACCGCACATTAATGGCCATAGCATTAGCTCTTTGAGCCTTTGGCTCAGAAGAGCTAAAAATAGAAACTTCTTTGAAATACTTTCAAAATGCTTCTTCACCTACAGTTTTAGTCTTTTTTTTTCAATATAATTTGGCAAACAAGTAGCCTTTACCAAGATACATATTTCTGTTTATCAGTTTCTGATGAATGGTATTGCCATGGTTACTCAAAATAAATTTCTGCGTGATTTAGAATTCTACTCCTCCTGCAGTTTTGGTCCGATTGTTATATAATGCAAGTAGACTACACCTCAATACATTAAATTGTCTTTATCGTTTTTTTATTTTGATGATGTGCCTTGGTAACTAAAATTGAACTTTCTGTAGGCCTAAAATTCTTTTAAAATGCTACTCCTACAGTTATAGTCTTATTGCAATCTTGTCACAAAAAAGACTAAATCAAGGGTCATTATTCTATTTAATGCTGTTGCAAAGTTTAAAGTCCCAACTGCAACTTTTCTCTTCCTTTGTCGTAAGTACAAACCATAAGAGCTACAGTCTCAACAGAGACTTCTGGTTTAAAATAGGTCCATTGAATTTTCAAAGCATATAGCAGCTTAGCTAGCCTACATGGGACACTAAAACCTGTACATGTATTACTGTAATTGCAATTATTACTATTCATAACAAAAGTGAAGAGTACATCTATAAATATCCTTTACAGGTTGCCTTTACCAGAACAAGGTACCATGAATGTATAGAAAAGAGAAAACACCAGGATGAGGTAATTGTCCGTAATTCATTTAACATTAATGCTTTCTTATTTTGTTTTATCTGAGAAAATTTGCAGTACTTTGCATTATGCACTTCTCATTTCATAAAAATTCAAATAAAATAAACATCACATCATAAACTACATTTTACTTGTAAGAAAATTGTGCAGGTCACTTTATTTGTGAGAAAATTATTTTTGTGTAATTACTTGAGTCTGTCTGTTTGCAAAAATTTTATTCCAGCACATATTTGTATTGTTATTAGGATCATATAAACACAACAAAGTGCACAAGTCATGAAAATTTTGTTCCACTTATAAGATCTGAATAGTTTTCTCTTGACAATAACAAGTTGCCAAAATAATGTCATATCTAAAGTATGTTCTTTCAATATTTCATTTCCCCATTGGCTTTAACCTATTTTTCAGATTTTGAACAAGGTTCTGTACATTGGAGGAGTCATCTTGTTCGGTTCCTTAGCAGTGTCAGTTGTACAAATCCTCAACCAGAATGGTGTATCAATCCATAGCCTTAAGGACCATTTTACACAACTATGGGAGGCCTACTTTTAGCTCAAGGACTACTGTCAAGTTGCATAAGAAATACCTCATGCTACTGTGATGCTTTGAAGGATCTGAACTTGTTTTTTAACATGGTAAAACATATGCATAATTTGAGTTTAAAGATATTTATTCACTAAATTTATAATAAATTACAAAAGATTTTCATATAGGAAATAATAATTACGAATAGCTGAAAATATTTGAATACAGTGCAAGAAATTTATATTTGCAAAATATGTAACCATTGCAAACAAAACTTACAGTATCTTTAAGTATCCTTGTTTTGACAGAAGAGTTTCAAAAGAAATATCTTGCTCTGTAGTGAATTTTTTAAGGATCTGATCATATATTATTATAAATATATACATATGCATTTTTTTTGTTTAAATAAATATACATTATTTCAAAATTACAAAAGTTTGAACAAATATGTAACTGAGATTATTTTTCTCTGACATTTAAATACAGTGCAAAAATTTACTTTGTGTGAAATATATAACCAAACAAACTTTTTTTTTTTTATACATATGTTTACCAGTTTACTGGAACAAATGAATTCTGGCAATCATAATAATCTGTTTACTTTGTTTTTTTGATTCTTTAATAAATTCTGCATCTGGTCTTACAACTTCTACTTCATTCTCGTTTCGAGGAGAGAGGGAGAGCTTATGGATATGTTAGAATCAAGAATGTTACAACTGAAACAACTACATGTACCACCAATCAGATATCCTTGACTTTTTGTTATATTACTGTATACAGGGAAATTTTTGCCCCTGTTTATTTTCACCCCTTTCGTCCTTGTCACTAGTGGGCAAATTTAAAACAGGGTGAATACAAAGAACACAATATAAATTCTTAAACAGAACTGTGACCGGCGAATTTAAAATGGGGCAAAATTGTTAGCAAGTGTAAAAAGGCGAAAATTTCATCAGTGTGAAAATAACCCTGTATACAGTATTAAACTTTATTCTTTCTAACAAGAGTTGCATTCATAATCAATGCAGTTGGCCTGCTGCTATATTAGCTAGATAACTATTAGGTGAACGGGTTTATTGAACAAATTGTTGTGGCTTTAAGGCTAGCATACTGTTCAAGAATCTAGCACTTGAATTATATAGCTAGTGTCATACAATACATTAAACTCTGGAATATTTTGATATATGAGTTCACCGATCAGATATTGTAACAAAATATATAACCCTTCCTATATTAAAAATAATGAACCCATAGTTCAAAATATTATAACCTAATATTTTTATTTTTGCGTCGGAAGCAAATTGAAAGTGGGGGGGCTAAGTGTGGAAAAACAATTTTATACCTTCAAAAAAACCTGACAAGCAACAAAAAAAAAGGGAAATGTCCATTCCCCAAACAAGAAAATCCTATTTGGGGGGGGGGGATGTTCAAACTTCAGTACCAAAATTTTTTTCCAAACACCACCACTTTCCCCATTTTTAACCTATACTGCAACATGTCGTCTGTGGAAAGTGGGGGGGGGGGGGGGGGCTAAACCAACGAAGATATTTTAAATGTGTAAACTAAGTATATATTTGGAAAAAAAATGGGGGGGCTAAGCCCCCCCAGCCCCCCGGTTCTGACGCCTATGATCAACATACTGTAAACATATCCCCCCCTCCAAACACACACACACACACCCTCCCTCACAAGGTCATTCCTCAGAATCACAATTTCTTTTCAGTTCATCAGAAGACAATTTTGTAGATTTCTTGGATTTCTGTGACTTTTGTGACAAAGAACATTATTCGTTAATAACCAATATTTGCCCCCCAAATCAAACTTTGATGGATATATATTTAATTAAGTTCTTAAACAGGGGAGTATATGCTGACTTCAAAGCACTGAATATTTTCATAAGTAATGACGCCATATGTACGTAATGACGTCACAAAATGACGTAAATTTCAGTTTTTAGCTCACCTGAGCCGAAGGCTCAAGTGAGCTTTTCTGATCACATTTTGTCCGGCGTCCGTCTATCCGTCCGTCCGTCCGTCTGTCTGTCAGTCTGTCTGTCCGTAAACTTTTCACATTTTCGACTTCTTCTCAAGAACCGCTGGGCCAATTTCAACCAAACTTGCCACAAAGCATCCTTGGGTAAAGGGGATTCAAGTTTGTTCAAATGAAGGGCCACGCCCCTTTCCAAGGGGAGATAATTACGAATTAGAGAAAAATTAAGGGCATTTTAAAAAATCTTCTTCTCAAGAACCACTGGGCCAAGAAAGATGAAACTCATGTGGAATCATCCTCAGGTAGTGTAGATTCAAGTTTGTTCAAATCATGACCCCCCGGGGCTAGTGTGGGGCCAAAATGGCCGACCCAAGTTTTACATAGGAATATATAGGAAAAATCTTTAAAAATCTTCTTCTCAAGAACCACTGGGTCAGGAAAGATGAAACTCACGTGGAATCATCCTCAGGTAGTGTAGATTCAAGTTTGTTCAAATCATGACCCCCGGGGCAAGGGTGGGGCCAAAATGGCCGACCCAAGTTTTACATAGGAATATATAGGAAAAATCTTTTAAAATCTTCTTCTCAAGAACCACTGGGCCAGGAAAGATGAAACTCATGTGGAATCATCCTCAGGTAGTGTAGATTCAAGTTTGTTCAAATCATGACCCCCGGGGCTAGGGTGGGGCCAAAATGGCCGACCAAAGTTTTACATAGAAATAGTTAGGAAAAATCTTTAAAAATCTTCTTCTCAAGAACCACTGGGCCAGGAAAGATGAAACTCATGTGGAATCATCCTCAGGTAGTGTAGATTCAAGTTTGTTCAAATCATGACCCCCGGGGCTAGGATGGGGCCAAAATGGCTGACCCAAGTTTTACATAGGAATATATAGGAAAAATCTTTAAAAATCTTCTTCTCAAGAACCACTGGGCCAGGAAAGATGACACTCATGTGGAATCATCCCCAGGTAGTGTAGATTCAAGTTTGTTCAAATCATGACCCCCAGGGCTAGGGTTGGGCCAAAATAGCCGACCAAAGTTTTACATAGGAATATAAAGGAAAAATCTTTAAAAATCTTCTTCTAAAGAACCACTGGGCCAGGAAAGATGAAACTCATGTGGAATCATCCTCAGGTAGTGTAGATTCAAGTTTGTTCAAATCATGACCCCCGGGGCTAGGATGGGGCCAAAATGGCCGACCCAAGTTTTACATAGGAATATATAGGAAAAATCTTTAAAAATCTTCTTCTCAAGAACCACTGGGCCAGGAAAGATGAAACTCACGTGGAATCATCCCCAGGTAGTGTAGATTCAAGTTTGTTCAAATCATGACCCCCAGGGCTAGGGTGGGGCCAAAATAGCCGACCAAAGTTTTACATAGGAATATAAAGGAAAAATCTTTAAAAATCTTCTTCTAAAGAACCACTGGGCCAGGAAAGATGAAACTCATGTGGAATCATCCTCAGGTAGTGTAGATTCAAGTTTGTTCAAATCATGACCCCCGGGGCTAGGATGGGGCCAAAATGGCCGACCCAAGTTTTACATAGGAATATATAGGAAAAATCTTTAAAAATCTTCTTCTCAAGAACCACTGGGCCAGGAAAGATGAAACTCACGTGGAATCATCCCCAGGTAGTGTAGATTCAAGTTTGTTCAAATCATGACCCCCAGGGCTAGGGTGGGGCCAAAATAGCCGACCAAAATTTTACATGGGAATATAAAGGAAAAATCTTTAAAAATCTTCTTCTAAAGAACCACTGGGCCAGGAAAGATGAAACTCATGTGGAATCATCCTCAGGTAGTGTAGATTCAAGTTTGTTCAAATCATGACCCCCTGGGCTAGGGTGGGACCAAAATGGCCGACCCAAGTTTTACATAGAAATATATAGGAAAAATCTTTAAAAATCTTCTTCTCAAGAACCACTGGGCCAGGAAAGATGAAAGTCATGTGGAAGCATCCTCAGGTAGTGTAGATTCAAGTTAGTTCAAATCATGACCCCTAGGGCTAGGGTGGGGCCAAAATGGCTGACCCAAGTTTTACATAGGGATTTATAGGGAAACCTTTTAAAATCATCTTTTCAAGTACTTCAAAGCTATGATTAGTGTCATAAAATATTAATATGGAATCATCTTCAGGTAGTGTAGATTCTAGTTTGTTCAAATCATGAACCCCTGGGGGGTTAAAATTCAGCCCTCCCCCCCCCCATAAACGTTCAGTTCTGATCTGATATGCGCTTTTTCCTAGCCAATGTGCTCAGGTGAGCGTTGTGGCCCCTGGGCCTCTTGTTTATGAATTTTACAGAAAAATGTACATACTTCGTGGATATTTTGAGTAAAAGTCATCGAGCGCATGTGTGTTCAGGATCAATATTTTGATATAATGTGTAGAATAATAATATCAATGAAATATGTCAATATTGTTCCTGAACAAACTTGCGCTCTATAAATTTTAAAGCTAAAATTGTTGAAATTTTGTCCATTTTGTCCTCTTTCTGAAAAAGGATATAAAATCGGACCAGTTTGTGACGTCATAAAAACAAAAATTGTGAATACACTGCTTCGACACCATAATATTTTCTGTTAATTTATATTTCTCATACAATTTATTGAATTCAGCACATTTCAGGAACTTTTCAAAATTTGACTTTTGTGGTGGCAAATATATGCAATATACCGCATATAGTTCTTTCCATGGAAAATACGTATCTGTATATCGTACATGGTGTAACTTAATCCAAGGGGGAATAAGGCATGTCTAAAATGCTTAAAGAAGTTTGAATTTGTATCAAGAGATGTTTGTAAAACACTTATGCCCCCCCTCCCCCAAAATTGGAATTTTTCTAAGTTCAGAAGGGTATAACTCTGTTAAAAATGGCGCAATCGTATCCAAAACATAACTTGACCTAGATATTCTGATAAATCTGTAAACCAAATTTTATTCCATATTTGCAACCTCTGCGAAGAAAATGGACAGAAACTGCAAATAATTGGATTTTTTCTAAGTCCAAGGGGCATAACTTCGTCAAAAATGGCGCCATCGTATCCAAAACAGAACTAGACCTAGATATAAATCTGATATATCTGTATAACAAATTTCATTTCAGTATAAGCAACGGTTGTGAAGAAAATGAACAGAAACTAAGTGAACCGACAGACAGCAGCAAAGCTATATGCCTTCCCTTCTTAGAAGGAGGGCATAAAAAAATATTTCTAATAGATACTCTATCCCCAGGTTTAAAGAGGAGAATACAATCAAGCCAAAGAGGTCCTTTCTCCTTAGTTTGGATTACTATAGACTGCAGTTAAGTGTGAAGTTTTACGTTACGTCACGATCTAGTTTGACAGCTGTGCTCAAGGTAAAAAGTACAGGCCTCCTAACTGCAAGCTTTACGACTGGAACTTTCTTCTAGTCTCTGATTGGTTGCTCGTACAACAGACTATTACTGTGTAAATGTTGATAATATGAGTTGACCAATCACGTGGATTGTTTACGCTGGATGCATCTGTTGAAAGAGATCGTGACGTAATACAACACTTCACACTGAACTGAAATTGATAGTATTAAGCAGTGAACAATTTCTGTTGTTCAAGATACCTTGATCAAACAGCTGTGTGATATACACAAAATGAATTTTAAAAAGTTGCATGTTAGTAAAGATTTATTTTTTTGACATTGTACCACACTGGTTCGAATCTCAATGATACATTTAGTTAAATTCATTTCATATTTACAAAGAAAATAATTAGGAAATGAATTATTATGAATTCCTTTTCTTTTCAAGAACTAACATAATTATATATAATATAACATGTATATCTTGATAATGCTTTGATTTAAAAAAGACAGAGCAAGAGCGTTCACCCATGTACTTATTCATTCAAAATCTCTATTGAATTATTTGATATGTCATGTTAGGTTTACTATTAACAGTCACTGATAAATGTAGGTTGCTGAACATTTTCTCTCCATCTCTGTAACATTTCCCCAGTGTTCTTCAGAGTCAGTATAGTACTGGATTTCAGTGTTACCCTCTGTATCCCTGATCTTGCTCAAGTCACTTCTACAGCAACACAGGATGAAATGGCCTTCTTCACCTCCTTTTCCTCATCTGAATTGTGTGGAAAGAAAATAATTATTACTGATTCTATAAGTGCACGTTTCAGTCAAGACTAAGGATGCATACTAGTTGGTTTACAGAAAAAAGAAATCATTAATATAATTCATACACAGTAAAACTCTGTTATAAAGAGGTCACTTGGACCTATAAAATTACTTCGCTATATCCGTAATTCGTTATATGCATGTAAGAAAATTGTTAAATCTGTATCGCTGGGGATCCAAAATAACTTCACTATATCCGTGTTCGTATTAAACAAGTTTTGCTGTATATTTATCCCTAATATACCTATCTTGCACCTAATTAATTTCTATAGCTGTATTGGATGTATGCTTGTTATTTAACCAGTTTCGTGTACAATACATGTATATTCAAATTTAAGACAAGGTATCCATTAAATACCTGATGCAGCAGTTCAATTCTTGAACTCATCAACTGGCTAGAGATACTGCAAGTTGACTTTGAGAACCATTTTAGATTCTGACCTACCTGGAGTCCTACATTCCTTCAGAAGCTGTGGAAGTTCTCGTCTCAGGTAACCGATGTAAAATTTTTGGCAGGTTCTTATAGTGCCTAAATAAAACAAGTAGAAAATCACAGAGAAACTGGACACATAGAAATACATGTATATTTGCCATTTTAACTTGTCCATATTGTCTGAAACTGCAATATCTGCAAAAGGCTTCAAACGAATACTTTTTGAAGGGTGGAAAGGCAGTTACAGTGAGTCTTAGCAAGCAGGAGAGGGTACCTTCAAAGTGTTAAACATAGGTATAAATCGGAGATTACAGAGCTAGCTCATATCAATAAATGTTTCTTTAAGTAAGGCAAAGTCCCAAAGTAAGCTAACAAGAGATGTTTGTGAAACACTTATCCCTCCCCCTTTATTCAAAAGGGCATAACTCTGTCAAAAATTGTTTGATCACACCCAAAACAAAACCTGCCCTAAATATTCTTATGATAAATCTGTATACATAATTTCATTTCAGTATGTACAACCTCTGTGAAGAAAATGAAAGGAAAATGTTGATGACGGACAGACAGCATCAAAGCAATATGCCTTCCCTTCTTTGAAGGGGGGCTAAAATAATAATCTAGAAGTGTGCATCCCTAGATGCTTTAGCCATGCAAGTGTTGTTCAGGGAAGTTTTAAAGTTACTTGGATAGGACCTACTCTTAAAAACTTACTGTGGTCACTCATCAGGAAAATTTATGTCATCATCCATGCAAGTTTGGTAAATATAGGTAAGGACTTGTAGTTACTTGGAAACCTGCTCCAAAATCTTTAACCTGGTCAATCTTAAGCTGAAATTCTAGCATTTGAAACCTTGATTGGTACAATGAGGCATCTTCCAATTGCATCACTGATTAATGTAGGGCATAGATATACTTGAAAAATCTGCTCAAAAAAATTTAACATGGGTTGCCGACGCAAAAGTCTCTCAGGTATCACATGTTATGCTCTCCCCCAACTTCATTTAGTTGAGCTTAAAAACTAGACGTGTCCACAGAGCATGAGTACATAAGTATTTCAACATGGAAAGTTATATACCTTAATTCTTAGATCAGAGATAATAGTTAACAGATGATGAAAGTTGGACAGGGGTCGATCACCATTAAAATATTCACTTGCCATTGGACAATCTGTCAGCAGATGTTACTTGTTCAAATGCAATTTTTTACTCGGGAAGAAATAGAAAGAAAAGTTGTTGATTTGTTTTGAGGTAAACAATATTAAACTACATGTACCTTTTTTTTTTTTTTTTTTACAAAACATTATGCTAAATTTTGACATAAATAAACAGTTGTACATTTACGCAGAATCGAGCAGATTTATCAATGACATATATTACCCAAGCTGAACAGGTGAACCAGCTAAACATTCAACAATTAACGTCTCATATGCACCAAAGGGGCTTGGGTTTTTTTACAAACACATTTCTACAGATGCAGTGTGTAGTAAAAACATGGGTTTGAAAGGTGTGAATTTCTGACGACGTCGAGATACACAGAGTCATTCGTGCGTGACTAGCGACCAGCTGACAAACAATTAGGCTAAGTATAGCAGAAAATTGCCCAGATGTCGATATATATACAAGGTAAATTTTGCTCTTGGGACTGTAAATATACGTCGAGATAAGCGGGGTAGTCGACATTTCTGAGGTCGACATATCAGAGTTTTTGCAAATCATTTATATAGAAAACTATGCCGGGACCGCAGACGGACGTCGACATATCCCAGGTTGTCGACATATCCGATGTCGAGATACCGAAGTTTACCTGTATTAAGATTAATCTGAAAAATTATGAAAAATTAAGCATTTTACTGATATAAAACAGCATAAATCATTACATATTGCAGTTCAATACTCAATTCAAATTACCATGATTGAGGAAAAACACAACTGAGCTTACCAGAAATGTGAAGTGTGTTGAAGAAAGCCTCGTACTGCCCAATCTTACGAACAAAGAACAGTGCTGACTGCAGCATTTTATGGCTATCTCTTGAGACCTTGATCCTCACTATGTTAGGGTGGAAGTAAGCCTGCACTGAATTACAAGTTCATGAATCAAATTTCTTAGTAAAAAGTTATCTATTAACAAAATATGTAAATTCAATTAAAAAATGCATGCTTCAAACTATAACAAAGTAATATGACATTGCAATTTCACAGTCTCAGAGACTTTTTCTGCACTGGGTTCACATGCAGGCATTTGTTTCGGAAATAAATTTAAACCCATAGTTCATGTATAATACTTGTGTTATTATTATACTATGGGTTCAGATTTATTTCTGAAACAAATGCCTGTGATTGGGTTACTAAGTATGATATATTAATTCTATAATTCCACTTTATACATTGCAGTGCTTTTTTTTTAATTTGGAAGATTTTACCATTTATAAATTGATTACCAAATGTTATAGATCCTGATACATTTTTACGCATGTTAATTTCATGAGAGTTTTAAAAGTTTCAAATTTAGCAATAACATTAATTTAATGAATTTTCTAAAATTGATTTCTGTACACCTTGTACCAAGAAGTTTGTACCACATCTCACATTGTCTCAGATTCCTGGTCACCAAACAGTTTCTGTGCAAGTGTGAATGTGTGACTAATAGAATGTTTATTTTGACCTTTGTAGAACCAGAACTCAGCATCACTAAGCCAGCAATGTGGTCAACTTTTTATTAAATGAATAGACTGTCTGTGTTGTACAATATTTGTAATGGCAATAATTTTGCATGTCACATGTTTATTGTACACTTTTTTATTTGCTGGATGCCAGAAGAATGAATAAAATGAGCAAAGAAAATAAAAGTTAGTTGAGTTCTAGATTGAAAATTCTCTCATAGCTACTAAAGAAAGTCATAATAATATGACTAAAGTCATCAATTTTTTCTATCAGCTACAAAAGTGATTTCAACAAAAGAAGATCCCATTTTTTGAAACCATGTAACTTATGAAAGTACATCACAATAATTATTTATTAATATGTTCATTATAGGTTAACATATTAGATTAATGCCTTGAAAAGCAAAAATTAATTTAGTAAGAATAAGATTTTGTATGTTAAGTTTTATTAATTCAGTAAGAATAAGAAGATTTTGTATGCTAAGTTTTATTAATTCTGTAAGAATAAGAAGATTTTGTATGTTAAGTTTTATTATTGGACTGACCTGACATACGAAGATTTTGTATAGTTTTTTTAATTAATTCAGTAAGAATAAGAGGATTTTGTATGTCAAGTTTTATTAATTCTGTAAGAATAAGAAGATTTTGTATGTTAAGTTTATTATTGAACTGACCTAACATAAGAAGATTTTGTATGTTAATTTTTATTATTGCATGGACTGACCTGACAGGGATTTTATGCATGTAGCCAATCCATAGTCGCCATGCTCCCTGGCCACCGCCTCTCGGACACAATGGTAAATATCTCTTTCTTTAAGATTTCTTTTCAATCTCTTACCATCCATATAAACAATTTCACACAAAAGATACCTAAAAAGTGTTATAAATGAGAACATAAATATGAAGTCCACATGTGCACAAATAACATACATATGTCATTGTATATTATAACAAAAGTATAATTCTGTAAGTTTAACTAAAAAAACACAAAGGTCAGTAAAGTTTTACATAATATTTTTGAATAAGTTTTCCCATTATATCACATATATGATATTTTTATTCATATGTCCAGAAAAAATTTCTGAATCACACCGGATAGAGTTATATTACATTGGAAACAGTTATATTGCCCTCCCGAATGTTCATGTAGTTATATTCCCTCGTATCCAATCATTCTGCATATTAATTAAGTTGGGTTCGAAATTCACAGTGGCAGTTGCTAAGCAAACATATATAAACAGTTTCGCAAAAATTTAATCATTTAAATTCAAAGGAACTAGAAAGTTTGATTAAGGAGAAAAATTCTGTCAATATAACTAACACAAAGGTCAGCGTGCAGAAAACATTTTACTATGAAATAAGACAAAATATTTAGGAATTATTGAAATTGGCCTTCATAACTTCAGCCGTCCGCATTCCGCAGTTATCATTTTATCAAAGGAGTGTTACTGTTTCTTAGCATATCAAAACAGATTCTGGTTGTTTAAAAATATTGTAAACCAATTATATTACATGGCTTCGAGGGTAGCATAACAGAATATTTGCTCCTCAGTAACAGAAAAGCCCTGGAGTGTAAAGTCGCTCTCTGCCTTTGGTATCGGGCAAAATAACACTCCAGGGCTTTCTTTTCACCTCGGGGCCCTCGAAACCATGTAACATAAATTATGTATAACCTGTATTGTTCCTGATAATGTTTATTCTTTGTTATAAGGGACTTCTGACTAAGTAAGAGCAGATGCGCTATTCAGAGTTTTTTTTGCAGCTTATATCTTTTATTGAAAGATGCTACAATTTTTTGCGACAACTTATTTTCACAAAATTGTTGTTCAGCAAAACAAAATTATCACAAATTGGGTTGTTACTCTGTGCAGGTCCATGCTTAGATAGAATGTTCTATCGTTAAAATGATATTGTCCTACGGACCCGGTTTAATGTGGTGAGGGCCTGTACCGAGACACAGTTAGATTATTCTAACTAGTCCATGCTCTGTGTACAGTTTATTTAACTTGGGATATTGATCTTTCCTTTCATTTGATATAAATTGTACTTATATTGTTCTATAACTTTTTTGGGGAGAGGGGGTGAAAGAAATCATTGTATATCACACAAGAGGCATGTTACAATTAATTTAGCAGTTACAACTTACACACCTGTTTTTCTGGCGAACCATTTTGAGCGAGTTTATGAAATACCGAACCCGATGTGAATAAATTTATATATCGAAAGACAAAAAATATATGTAGTACAATAACATGTAATTTTTTCTTATAAATTTATCGGTAAAATTTATATGCTTAAATTTTTTACTTACAGCATCGTGGCAACGAACCTGACGTACAATTTGCACTTTGTAATTTATAAAAATACAAATATTTATTGGCACAAACACAATTACAATATATGGCAAATATTATATTAAGGCACATCATCAATCGTTCATTATATTTAAACAATAATCTGGTATAGATAAATCGTAGCTAAATAGTACATCATTTGTAAAATAATTATGTTATGCATTCATTTCTGTAATACATTTTTAAATAAATGAGTTTGTTATTTTCAGTACTTCTGGACAATGGCTATTATTTTAGCAAAGTTTAACTTTTTGAGTATTAGATATATTTAATATTTTTTCATAAAAAAAAAAATCATTAAATTCCTTTCAAAAGTTAACCTATGATCATTGTATTTATGGCAGATGAAGAGAAAATGAAATTCATCTTCAACCTCCCCTGTACGTGTTACATATATCACAAGTTCTTTTATCTGTGGGTATAGAAGAATGTCTTCCTTTTTCTATGTCAAGGTTATGAGCACTTAGTCTCAATCTGCTAATAATTGATATGTCTGTTTTCTTTTTTAATATATCAGTGTATCCGCATCGTTTGAAATTATTAAAAGCAACTTGATAAAATTTTAGTTTAGATGAATTATGAATCTTTGCATGTTCCTCTTGTACGCATTGATCTGATATTCTTTGTTTTATGCTTCTTAGAAGTGGTTTTATTGAATTTTCTTTTCTAGTAATGAATGAAAATTCTAACTTGTTGAAAATTTAAAAAAATATTTTTAGTCCATGGGTTTGTTTTGACCCTTGTTTTACCGGTAAGATGGTTCCAAGATTTTGTACTTGAAAAATGTATTCTTGTCCACAGGGGTTGTCTACCTAAATCTGCTCTGCTCTTTGATTTCCAATTTTCAATGCCTATATAATGTCTATTTTTGCAAAAAAAGGGGGCTTAGCCCCCCTCCAGCCCCCCTCCCCCCCGTTCCGACGCCTATGCTGTGCTTTGACCAAAATCAACAGCTTAAAAACTTTCGATTTTTTAATTTTATACACAACCATTCCCCTAGCTGCAGAACTGCACATGTAGCTCTCCGAAAAAAAAATATTGACAGACCAAACTGTCAATATATATTTTTCGGAGAGCTATACAGTTCTGCAGCTAATAATTCTGGAGTTATTACACCCCCCCCCCCACAAGTGAAGATAAAAATTCTCATCTCATTTGCGCATCAGTAACATCCTTGATCAGAGCATTTATCTTTCTCATATATATAGGGAAACTATTCAACCGTTCCGACAGGGATGTCATAAGTTAGTCGAGAGTAGTCTGAAAAATCCGACATTTTCTAAGCTTTTTTGCCGTTTTTATATTTTACATTCCAGGTAAATTTCAAAACCGGTTCATTATGAAAACTGGAAACGCCGTCTCATATCAGAGTTGATTTTCGATACTTGCGAACCGAACTAAATGCCGAAGTCGCAGTTTGCAATTCGCAATTCAAAAGTGAACTGCATTCTATAATGCAGTTCGCAATTCAAATTCTAAACAACATTCAATGGGTCTGAAAGTTTGAGGGTAGGGTACTAGTGGTCAGTTACCACTTCTGTGAAAAAATGGTGATGGTACCATCTCTAGTTTCCGAGATATGGCCCTCCAGGTTTTAGCCCTATTATATAATACTATACGAATAAACATCGCGCTCGGGGACATCAAAGTCCCCTACCCTGGGTCTGAAATTTTGAGGGTTGGGTAATAGGGGTCAGTTACCAGTTCTGTGAAAAAATAGTGATGGTACCATCTCTAGTTTCCGAGATATGGCCCTCCAGTTTTTAGCCCTACTATATAATACTATACGAATAAACATCGGGCTCAGGGACATCGAAGTTCCCTACCCTGGGGTCTGAAATTTTGAGGGTTGAGTACTAGGAGTCAGTTACTACTTCTTTGAAAAAATGGTGTTGATACCATGTCTAGTTTCCGAGATATGGCCCTCCAGTTTTTAGACCCACTATATAATATTATACGAATAAATATCGGGCTCGGGGACATCGAAGTCCCCTACCCCGGGGTCTGAAATTTTGAGGGTGGGGTACTGCGAACTGCGTTCCAAAATCTGATCGCCATCAACAATAGAATACTCTTCTAGTACTCACCAATATCAATTAAAAGAAAACTTCACTCCACATTTCGATACAGGACTTACAAAATTTTAAAATGCACGAATTGAAACAAATCTCTATTGTCTGATAAAAAGTTTTCATCGGGCTGTATAATTTATGAATGAACCATAAATATACAATGTTGGTAAACTTGTACTAAAAGTACTGTACTATTGATAACTTGTGAGTTTGCCATTTTTAAAATTCGGTTCACAAGCATGTAAACGCAACCCGAGAATTTAAATGCCGCCTCCGTTTTTTTTTTTTTTTTTTTTAAATATTTTTTTAAATTTAATCTATTTTTATTTTTGCATGTTTAATTGCATGTTCTTTTTTAGTTAGAAAATACCTTTAGGCTATATTGAGTTAATGGGGAAAATACCAAGATTTCGGTGAAAATTTTATTAAGTTCAAATCACAAAAAGTTATTTCGTACAATCCCCTTTTTTCGATCCAGTTCGCCTTCCCAATGCCAAATACTTGACGACGCCCCGAACAAGTCCTTTTCTTGGGTAGCAATAATTTTAACCCTTTAACCTTGATCTTGGAGTTAGATCCACTTTTGATAATTTTAATTTTGGCCACAACTTTTAAATGATCATTGATAGGTCTTTCATTTTCACTTATATTTTCCAAGTAACAAGACCTTTCCTTGAGTACCAAACGATGTTGACCTTTGCCCTTCACCCATGAGTTTGACATATTTTTGGAAAACATTTTACGTTAAATGGTCATAACTTTTGAATGGTTGGTGCTACAGCTTTAATATTTCACATCTGTATTTCTTGTGACAAGACCTTTCCTTGGAGAAAATTAAATAATGATTCTTTATCCTTGACTTATAAGTTTGTCACAATTGATAAAAATATTCTTGACCAACACTTTTGAACGGTCGGTTGATACTTTCTAGCTTTCATAGCTCACAAGAAAAATCATGGTTGACTAGAGCTAAAGAACATTTTTGGTCTCTTACACCTTAAAGTTTGACTTGCATACTAGAAATTTAAACTTTGCATTGAGTTGCCATACATGGTCATAAATGTTTTACAAACACATCTTGTTTTTTAAAATAGTTTTTTTTCTTCTAACCTCTTAAATATTGTAAACAATAAGTGTATTCTATTAAGAAGAAGAAAAGAATGAATTCAAGTCCGTGTAAACACTTCAGATGCTTTAAATGAACAGCTGATTCCTGTTTACAGAGCATGCCAAGTGCCTCTTTACGTCATCAGTACTTAGAGTTCTTTAGTGTCTCCATTGTTTACACGAGGGATTTTTTTTTTTTGGAAATGCAATACTAATTAAAATGCCAACTTATACATGTTATACAACTACTTTCAATTATATTCCTTCTGATTGCGTGTCTCTGACTATTTCTCATGGACAACATCACTCGCCTGTTTTGGAGATGCAACTATGCCTAACGATCCTTAACTTTGTATTTCTTTAAGACGGAACGACTTCCTTAGACTAGTAAAATTGTTCACACATTTGTAAATGGCAGTTCAAAACCATCCGAAATTGTGTTTACAAACTGTTATCAGTGTGGTCCGTGTGACACTTAACAATTCAAATTTCTAAAACGATTTAGAGTTTTAGAATGTTAATCTAACAGTTCAAAGTTCTAAATTTCAAAAACTCTAACTGATTTTGTATATTGAAAGAAGATGGGCGTATAAGGCGGGCAGAATGCCTATAGCGCGACAGATAAGAAGAGAAAAAAATTAATCTCAATTTTATTCAAATTTTATGTCATATCTCATCTAGTATTAAAGTATACTTAAAATATACGTAAAATCTCTATAATTTACAAAAATCTATCAAAAACTGAAAATATTTGCCTATGAAAAAGCATACACAGACTTAAAAGAACAAAAACGATCATTTTTTCATACTTTAACAAAATTTTTCAATGTGAGTAGGTCTTCCCTCCATTTTTTTGAAAGATAATCCTAAAAGTTTGCGATAAAATACATATTTTTTGGTTTACAAAAAAATGGAGGGAAGACCCACTATACCTTAAAAATACACTTTTATGACAAAATATTCTCATCTTTCCGAGAAATACTTCAAGTCCATTAAGTCAAGGGTCATATCACAAACATGATTTAAATGTCACTACAACACATCAGCCATGTAGCATAGTGGTTAGCGCGGTAGTCTCAAAGCAGTCTGATACATCGGCATTTTATTGCTGGGGTTCGAATCCCACGAATAACATGGAATATTATTATAAATGAAATTTCTTAAAGAAATTTATTTTCTCTCATAAAAAGTTTTTTTCCCTCATAATTTCATAAATTTCAATAATGAGATGTAAATTTAAATACTCAATTTACATATCAAATGTGATTTCTTAATATCTTACGCTATAGGCATTCTGCCCGCCTTATCCGCCCATCTTCTTTTATATTTTAGTTCAAAAATCCAAAATTTCAAATTTCCAAAACGGTTTTAGAATTTTAATATTTCAGATTTTTGCATTAAATAGTCAAAATTCAAATTTCCAAAACGATTTTTGGAATTATACGTTGGAATTTTTAGTCTACCATTTGTTCAGAAAGTTTACACTTAACAATCAAGAGTTCGGTAATATTTTTCGTCTTTTGATGATTTGAAATTAGCTTCAAACTTCTAAAATCCAACTTTGAAACGTTGTAGATTTTTAGAAATTTGGAATTTTGATTCAAACATTCTAATTTCAAATAACCTAAACACTTTGAGTTTTAGAATTTTACTTTAACAATCCAAAATACCAAATTTCCAAACCCGATTTGAATTTTGAATATCAGTTCAATATTCTAACTATCTTAAAGCTATTTTGCTTAACGAACAATGTTTTTGTAATAGTTTAAAAATTCAAACCAGGTTTGGAATTTGATATTTTGGATACTAGAATTTGAAGTAAATATCTAAAGACTCCAAGTGTTTTGGTTATTTGAAATTTGAATGTTTGAATCAAAATTCGAAATTTCAAAAAATCTAAAACGTTTTGAAAGTTGAAATTTAGAAGTTTGAAGTAAATTTTGGAATATTAAAAATCGTAAAACTGTACTAAACTTTAGATTGTTAAGAGTAAACTTTTTGAATAAACGGTAGATTAAAAACTCAAAAGTTTAAAGTATAAAATTTGTTTTTGGAAATTTGAATTTTGAATGTTTAAGGTAAATATCTAAAAACCTAAAATTCTAAAACCTGTTTGCAAATTTGCAAATTTAGGTTTTTGAACTAAAATAATAAATTCCAGTATACGAAATCAGTTTGAGTTTTTGAAATTTAGAAATTTGAACTATAATTATATTCACATTCTAAAACTTTAAATCGTTTTAGAGATTTGAATTGTTAAGTGTTACACGGACCGTTATCACTTGTATTGTCTGCTTGCTACAAGGTCATGTACCTGACATGTAATGTTTGTAACGTTTACCACCTCTTAACATTATCTTCCATTTTAGACACGCTACATATATGATGATTTCATTCATGAAATATGGAAACATGTTATATATAGGATTGATTAATTGATTGTATGTTGTTTAACGTCCATCTCGAGAATTTTTCACTCATATGGAGACGCCAGTCACGCCAGCACTTGCCGGTGGAGAGCTACAAATTTTGTCCTATACTCGGCACTTAGGGCCATTGAGCAGTGAGGGATCTTTTTCGTGCCAGCACCTACTGCGACACGGGACTCATACGAAGGTCTCATCCGAAGGACCGGTCTCCACATCCCACAGTGGGATTCGAACCCGCGACGTAAGGATTGACTCCTTACTTCGCAACTCTAGAGGAGACGCTCTAACCACTTCGCCACGCGGTCGACGTTATATATTACCTATTAATGTTGTTATAATCATGATTATATTGTTTGTTTCTTAATTGTATATGCCCCCTGAGGGCCCTTGATTGGTGAATAAATAAATAATTATATAATATAGGAAAAAGACACCATAAATAGTAACTTATAAATATAATAAATTTTAATGTGATATTATCAGCATACATGTGTTTAAAATCTTTAAAGAACATATTGAAGGAATCACTGTCTAGTTAGTAGAGTATGCCAGGGCAAATTATAAGTCCGTCATGCATTAATTATCCCACGTTCCAACTATCGTTGGTGTCACTGGCATACTCTCCTAACTAGACAGTGATTCCATATATTTCCATTTCATTGTGAAATAAAATTGTAAATTTAGATTTTAAAAATGTTGATTAGATTTAAAGTACTCAAAGCCTCCCATATCAATTTCAACAAGCTAATTCAGAGAATTCGTGTCCCCCGCTTAGGGAAAAAGTCGGATCCCCCTGACTGAATTTGTAGAATTATTAAATGTATACATGTATACTGAAGCAAATAAAATACATGTATGTGAATACGAATATAAAGATTTAATTGCTTATTCTTTATTATGTGTATAGAAGATTCTTTTTATATGGAATATTTATCACACTGTAATGATGATTTTATAACCTCATAAATTTTTCATTTCACATGCTGAATACTATCATTTAGTAAAAAAAAAAAAGTATTTAAAAAAAAAAAAGAAAAAAAAAAGGATCGTCCGCGAATCGATCCCGGGACCTCTCACATGTGAAGCGAGAGACAATACCACTAGATCACGTAATCGCTATTCCTGGAGTGAGGTATATACAGAATAGAAGTCACATACATGTATATATTCATGTTCGGTAGTCTCAAAATTTTACACAGTCCATGGTGTTTGATTTATTTAGCCTTTATTAAACAGTTCTAATAGATGTAATAAGAACATAAAGTCAACCGAGAACCTGTTTTATACGCAATACCTCTCCTCATGCCCCTGTGCTAAAAATGGCGACATGTAATACTATAAATACTAATAAAACAAACGGGGCGGGGCACTTTGAGAGGGGTGAGAAAGGTCCTAGGGAGTTTTGGTATAAAATTACATTGCATAAGCTCAAAATCTTCTTGAAATATCGCCCGAAAATGATAGTGTTACACACAGACAGAATGTATAAATTTACGACCTTGAACTTTGACCTTTTGACCTCAAAATCAATAGGGGTCTTCATTAGGCCACCGGGAGTTGTTTTGTAAAATTTCATTGCAATAGCTCAAATGGTTCTAGAGATATCGTGTGGAAACGAACGTGTTATAACAGACTGTATTTGCTTATTTATGACCTTGACCTTTGACCTTTAGACCTCAAAATCAATAGGGTTCTTCTTTAGTCCATAGGGAGTTGCTATGCTAAATTCCATTGCAAAAGCTCAAAGGGTTCTCGAGATATCGTGTGGACGGACAAACCCAAATTAATATCCCCCACTTTTCAAGCGGGGGACAAATAGTCCTCGCCCACGGACGTCAAACGCAAAGACAGCCGCGCGAGATTTACATGCATATATAACATGTCTGGACGATTTCCAAATAAGCAAACAAGAGCGATAACCGTGAATTGCTATAAATATACCGAATAAACAAGGTGCTTGTCCTTCTGACCAATCAGATAACAGCATTTAGACATACCCACGTGAAAATAAATTAAACATGTGGTTTTATAGTTTTTTGCTAAAAAGATTTTTTTGGAACAAATATTTTGTAAGCTTTATGCACATTTAGGAATGATATTATATTTATGACAATTCTACCGTGATCAAACATGACATGAAAGCTTAGAAAACGTTTTAAGTGGGATTAAAAATCTGTTACCAAGAGGTAGCATTCCCAAAACTTTAACTTACGTTAAAAATTTGATATAAATAGGAAAATTTTTAGTTTTTAGAGCCTGACATAAAGAATCTAAGCGAATGGATAACAGTATTAATTATTTTTTGAGTGTTTCTAACAAAACAGTTTCTAGTATGTCTACATGCGAGGTAGGATATTGGGAAAAACGCATTCATGCATAATCATTCTCTTTTCTCCACGTTTACGCCTTTACTTATGCCCATTTAAACTCTGCATACATCTTACTGGTCGGCGCTCATGAAATCCGTGATATTTCAAGACTATATATAGACTATACGATAAACACTTGTGTGAGATGGATCTGTACACATGGAATTTAAGCATCATTGACAATGCATTGATGAAAATCGGATGGCTGAACAAAATTATATTGACCAACATATATTATTAATATTCTTGTAAATGCTGTAATTGAACTTGATAAGAATTTGCTGGTGTGATTCCTCCGTAAACAATTACATTGTGTCATGTTTTTTTTTTCTTGACCGAGACAAAAATGTCAAGGTTGTTCACGGTAAATATTTGGGGATTGCCTCATTTTTCAAGGTATTTCATCTTACTTCTAAAGATTTTTTGTCTGATTGGACAGAAAAATAAATACGTGTACATGATGTATATTTATAACAACTTTCAGTTGTCGTTCTTGACTTCCATATTTGGAAATCGTCCAGACCTGTATAAGGCCTCCTAAAAGTAGCTCCTGACCTATTTCTTGGCGAAATTTACATTCCGGTAGAATTTTCATGAAATCAAGTCTAGCAACTTTCAATGAGTTATTACAGAAAAAAACCAAATTAAAAATGGAAAAAAATCGAATATACTTAACATTCTTTTGTGAAGTCAGTAAGTAAAATGAAATATAAGTACATGTATGTTTACTAGTATTGCAATGAATAACAAAAAAATATATAAACTGTCGGGTGAGCTAAATACATGTACTGTTCATTGGCCCTTTTCTTGTGAGCAGGAACTTCCGTTATGAAGGTCCTCACTTCTATAAATCTGGTTAAAGTTGTGTTTTGATTCATTTCCCATATTGGAAATCTTAGTTGAATTTGTACCCCAAAGTCATGACGTCGCATCTGTTTCTCTTGATAATCTTAGTAAATGCTTGTGCTGGAGCATTACAATTGGCAACTTCTTCCACAAACGAGCATCAGGAATCCTCACAAAGAAAATCTGATATACTGCGACAGCTACTAAATCAAGAGACATTGATACGAATGTCTCTTGCAAAAGACGTGCAATCTCTCCTCAAAAACCAAAGAAATGCTGAAGCTGAGAGCCAGGGAAGGGAAAAAAGCCTGAACGATTTGAAGTTGAGAGTTGAAGGACTCGCCAGCGAAGCGGAGTCTCTGAAGCAAATGGACACAAACCTGACCAGTCAATTTATTGCGTTATTGAGAGATGAACAGGAAGAAGAGAAGACCGACGAGGCAAGAGACAACAAAATAAAAAGCCTAGAGGAGAAGATTCAGGAACTCACCACGAATCTGACCCAGAAAGTCGGCCCGATAAATGTATCGAATTTGTTGTCCCAAATTGCAGGTATAATTTCATTTTGTTTTTGTGTTAGAAACATTTCATAATTATATAGAATGTAAAAAAAATATCATGACGGGGGGAATACATTTTTATATATTTTTATCTTATTTGGCTTTTAAACTTTCTTTAAAGCAGTATCTATTTGAATTTGAACACTTTTTTGGCTTTGTCAGGTGTGCACAGTGAGATCTCAGCATATCCGGACATTGTGGTCCAGGCCGCATGTGCAGCAAGCTATCGAGGTGGATTTGTTTCGGCCGTCAGAAGAACGTGTTCGAATGAAGCTTCCTCCTGTGACGTGGTCTGTAGAGAGGCCACCTCACAGATGAAAGCAAAGATGGTAAATCAGGGAGGAAAACAGTTAAGTCACTCTAAAATTACGGTCTTTTAAAAAAATAATTTCATCCCTACAAAAGGGATTCCATTCTTTATAAAAAGAAGTGAAAAACATTTTAATTATAAATGAACGTAATTTTTTCATCATTGTTGCAATGTATTGTGGAAATTTTTTTTAATTTGCCAGGTTTATACACTCAATGTAATCTAACTTTCTTACAAAATAAGTGTCTTGAGACTCTGGTGTTTTTATGTCACAATTAAATCATGAGACATCGTAAAATAAACATCTAAGACTTAAATATTAGTAATATTGTAGCTATCTATAATTATAGCGTTAGACATTAACCTATTTAGTATGACAATTAAATAGACTGAAAAGATTCATCTCAAAATAGAAATATTTTCCTCCCTTTTAACAGAGCACAGTGTGTTCAGACCTTTCATTTCTATGGATTGAATGGAAACATCGCACCTGGTGTACCCGGGAAGGTCAACAGGATAATGTACCGCTACGACTCCAGTGCCTGCTCGAAACAGTTCTGTGGTCCGAATTTCTGCTGCTGTACTCTGTAAAAACATTATTTTATTATTGACATTTTGACTTCAGAAGTACATGTATCATTTTTTGTAAATTGCTCTGTTAACCTTAAAAACAAACAATTGATGAATACTATACTTTATGCATTAAAAAGAAAGGATTGTACAGTGTAGTTCTTGAGACTTGAACACTGGGAAATGGAAAATATGAATAACAATTGAAACTAGAGGTATTGTAAGCAATGAGCTTACTAAATGATAACCCCCCCCCCGCCTCCCATATGGCAAAATCCATGTTTTCCTGTGGCCCGGAAACCCAAAATATGTGTCTGATCAAAAAGCAAAATAGGAGGTCACAATGGCAATATGTTATAAAGATTCTGTGAAAGTGGTGTAAGAGGAGTTGCGGATAAGAGATGGGTACCCAAAAGCGTAACAGACGGACGGACGGACACAGATTACTATATACCCTCCCGCTTTTCAAGCGGGGGGGGGGGGGTATAATAATGTATGATTGATATGATCTAGTTTTATAAGTAGCTTGTCTGATGAATGGACAGCCCGTAGATGGAATAAATTATAATGTAAAAATATGGTAATTACATTTAATAAACAAACTAGAGGTACTGTGAGCAATGAGCTCACTAAATGATACCCCCGCCTCCCATATGATATAATGGCAGTGTACATGTTTTGCTCTGGAAAATCCAAAATATATGTTAGATCAAAAAGTAAAATAGGTGGTGCACAATGGCAATATGTAATAAAGGTTATGTGAAAGTTTCCTAAAATTTACTTTAGTGGTATGAGAGGAGTTGCAAATGGGTACCCCAAAGCGTAACAGACGGACGGACATACCGATTACTATATACCCTCCCGCTTTTCGAGCGGGGGGTATATTAAACTAAAACGATACTTGTACAATTTATGTCCCTTGAAGGAGAAATGTGTATCAAGGGATGCAGCATAATTTATCTTAATTATCACTTCAAGTTGATGTCAAGGCAAAAATAATATTCTACAGGAGTTCATACACATGGACAATTTCATTTACAGAGAAAAAAAATTACAGAAACCCTTAAAATTATGTACTCTTAGAAAGTCAGACGTAAACAGGTTGTGTCTGTTAAACAACGACGCCCCCGTATGGCAGTATATTGCGAAAGTTAAAAGTTTTTTTAAAAGGAGGTCAAAGAACAAGGTCAAAATTGTTGGTATTCAAAGAAAGGTCCCGTCACAAGGAATATATGTATTACATTTGAAAGCCTTAGTTCTAATTGTTCAGAAGTTATACCAAGGTTTAAGTTTTTCAAAAAGCAAAAAGTGGGTCAAACGGCAAGGTCAAGGTCAAGGGGTCAAAAATATTTACACCCATGGAAACGTACTGTCGCGATGAAAATATAAAAGCCCTTTATTATATATAAATATATTGGCACCCAAAGGAAGGTGTTTTTACAAGGAATATATATGTGAAATATAAAAGCCACAGCTTCAAGCAATCAAGAGTTACAGGCAAGGCGGACAAGTTTTTGCAGACAAACGGACAGCTAGACACAGTGGCGTAGCATCGTTTTTAAAAAGGGGGGAGAGAAAAAAGCCTCCCCCCCCTTCTGTTGCTTCGTGCCTGAGACGGACACACAGACAAGGCAAAGAAACTATATGCCCCCGAATCTTTGATTAGAAGTCATAACAATATCCACTATTTTGTTTATGTTTATTCACTATATAAGCTATAATGACCAGGATTGCTGTGAAATGCTCATGCTGAGAAATCGTTTGGTTTGCTGTTAGAAATAATTTTTAGTCAGAGAAGAGTTGATTCTGTTATAAATTCCATGATATCTATGAAATGTTAAAAAAAATAAATAAATGGTAACATATAAAGATTAATGCTGTACCATCATCATACGTATATTTAAAATCTTTAAAGAACTTATGTACAAATGTTCTTAATGAAATATATGGAGATAAAGAACAATATTCAAGCTCAGAAGTCCAATAAACAATACAAAATAGGAGCAGAGCAAACACGGACCTTCGAAAAATAAGAGGTGGGATCAGGTTTCACAGAGGAGTGAGCATCCCCTGCTGGCCCGCCGTGTGCTCCTTAACATTATCGGATATAACGGAAAAATCTGTCGTCAATTCTGGGTAAATAATGGATTAACAATTGGTATGAAAAACGTCAGTCAGCATTTGACAAAAAAATAAATTGTATTTGCTGAGAAGGTTATTGTATCGTCCATAGAACTTACAAAAGGATGACGTTAAACGAGACTGCTGATATTCTTGTTTCATCAACTTGTTTGTGATAATCTTTAAAAATCTTCTCCTACTGAAGCACTGGGTCAGGAAATTGAAACTTATGTTTGTGGAATATAATCATTATGCCGGGGGTTGAGCCACAATGAATCATCAAATATTCCATAGAAATACATAGGAAAAATCTTTAGAAAAAAATCTTCTCATCTACAGCAGAGTCATGATTGACCAAATTTATGTGGAAGCGCCTTCAGATTCAAGTTTGTTCCAATCATGACCCCCCCGGGGGTAGGATGGGGCCACAATAAAAGATAAAACTAATAGGCACAAAACTTTTTTCAAAACTTCTAAAGCCATGATTTGTTAAAGAAATATGATAACATACCTAGTTGGTGTTCATTGTAGATTCAAGTTTGTTCGAATCATGCCTCCTTCCCTTTGGGGATAGGTTGATACCACTAATAAAATACTGAACTAACCAAAAGTACTCAGATGAGCGATGTGTTCCATGGGCTTCTTGTGTTTAATACTTTTATTTAATTTCTGTCTTTTATTCTAACTTCTTGTTTACATTTTCCAATTTTGTTTTAATTTAATTTCATTTGACGATGCATGAATTCGCAATCATATGTTAAGAAAAATTGATGCTTTTATTCGTCAAATTTGTTTTTTGAGCATTTTAAAGTCATTGCTCGGTATACTAAGCGGCATATTTAAGGGCACCTGTTGCGCCAATTATTCAGCAAATGACGCAAACAAAGTACTGCATAGAAAGAATATCTATCATCACGTGCACACACTGCGCAAGTTTTTGTCAAACACGAAATTTAACGGATTATTTGGCATAACTTGATCAGTACATTACTGTTAGATATACAATGGCTGTTCTTGTAGTTGTTCTGAATATATTTATCCAGTTGTCCACCGCTGCTGTGATACTAAACCAGACTCTGACCACTGATAATGTACACCTCACACTGAGGAATTCCGACAGTTTACGACAATTAAGAAATCAAGAGACGTTAATACGGATGTCAATGAGGAGAGATCTACAGAATCTACAGAAAGATCAAAGAAAACTGGAGAATGAGAACCAGGCACAAAAGAAAGAATTCAACAATCTGAAGTTCAAGTTTGAAGAATTAAAGAATGAAACCATTTCCCTGAAAAAACTGAATGTGAACTTAACCAATGAAGTCACTGATTTGTGGAATGAAAAAGACAAAACTGAGAAAATGATCATGGCAAGAGATGGAAATATAACTGATATAGTGAGGAAAATTGAGGAATTATCCAAAATAAGTTCTTTACCGGTCCATGATGTTATCAACAATTTAACAGGTAAATTAATTCGATTTTCATTATTTTTGTTTTTAAAGCTTTCTTTGGGTGTAAACACGCAATGAAGGAGCTGAATGTAGTGTCTGTTTATTTAACCTCATCTGTTAAAAATTTATAAATATTAGAAATAAAACGCATTATGGACAAATACTTTATTTTAGTAAGTCCAATAAAATAAAATACCTTTTTGCGATAGGTCATTGACACTAAAATCTGGATATTTTGAGATGGTTTTCTACCTGTATGATTACCCAGTGATTTATCACCTGTCTTGTCTCTCTGTCACAACTCATACCTGGAGAACTATCAGATTTGATACGATGAATGATACTGTCATCATTAAAAAAAAAGTTAACAATAACTGACTTTTAAAAATTTTTTCATAGCTTCGGGTTTTGGATCAGTTTACCTACTGTAGTTAATGAATGGTGGTGATTTTAAAACTCTTACAACATAACATCACCAAAGAACAACCAAGCAACACGCGCAATCAAGGCGTGATTCACTAGCACTTGGTAATATGCATGTAGTCAAGTTCCAGATAATTTATTTTTTTTTAAAATGATACTAGTTTATTGCTTTGTTTTTCATACAACAACAAAAAATATTTCCTTTGCTTTCGGGCAACATTGAATATGTTAGCTTTGCGCCGGGCAATATTTCATCCGTTGAAAGCGTTTGTGTAGGGCAATGATTTCATGTAGGGGAGGCCAACATAATCAATGTTGCCCTCAACTCCAGTCAATATTTGTATATTTTAGACCAAAGGGGGAAAAGATCACTAATATACGTTCATACGCTTCTAATTCTACTCTAATTCTGCTTTTTACGAGGGGATGCTCAACTTAATTGGCGTTGCCCTTGCGTCTTAATAGCATTCATAGACATGTATTAGGAGACACAATTATGCACAGATGCTATCCTTTCAGTTTGATGCAATGATGTCCTTTCAGATGTCCGATACCAGATGTCTGGCTATCCAGACCTTCTTGTACAAGCAGCATGTGCAGGACAAAGCAAGACTCCAGAGCATGTGGCAGCTGTGAGAAGAACGTGTTCGAGGAAGGCTCCTTCCTGCGATACAGTTTGTAAAGCAGCCACGCCCCAGATGAAAGCTAGAGTGAATGAGGGCTCCAAAGAGTTGAGTATACGCTCATATAATAATGATAACTATAAAATTCTTAAAATCAGTTGATCATTGCCAAAGCTTAGAATTATGATTTGCACATAGTACCGGTATTTGAGTAGTTGATTCCGGATTGCACAGTTTATAGTTGTTAGGAATTTGGCAGTTAAGAAGTTTCGTAGTTTAAATCCCTTTATCTCAATATTGCATTATTTCATTTATCAACACAAGTGATCAAGGCTTTTCTAAGTCACTCCTACTGTGTCCTACATAATTGAAATATAAGTCCATAATGATGAATTGGCTGACTCGAAAAACAAATGCTTGAAAAAATAGTTCTCGAAGAAATAGTTTCTTTGAAATAATCTTTCTATAGTTTTTTAAATCTATGGTTTAAATGTAAAAAGAATCTTCAGCATTTTAAATAAAAATCAATTTTAAAGTATTGAAAATTTACTTTTGTACAAGCTAAACTCCTATAGTAATATGCAAAAATCTATACCATGTTGACCGCTTTAAAGTTATCGTTCATTATTTATGCGTAGACATTTCCTTCTAAAACAAAAGTTAGCAGTTACTATGTGAAGTTTCGTGTCAAGTTTAAAAGACTATTTTTTCAGTCTTTAGCTCGAAAATTTTAGTATATATATATACATGAAAAGTAAAAAAAAAAAATATGTATTTTAATTTTTCATACGGTGGATTTTCTAAGAATACCGATTCATTTCTGCCCACAATCACTAATATTGTATGATTTTTTGACAGGGCAACATGTTTCATGTCTTTCCACTTTTATGATTGGAATGAGAAGATTAAACCAGGTGCTCCGGGAAAGTTTAATCGACTCATGTACCGCTACCATTCGGGTGCTTGCTCGCAACAGTATTGCGGGCCGAATTTTTGTTGCTGTAGATTTTAATTAACACACTGAAATTCTTTGGGTCTCCTCCAACAAAACCTTTGTGACATTTTATTAGATTTCGTTTGTTGGATACATGATAAAAAGAGAATTGCTAATTATTTTCATTTATTATGGTGGGGGGGGGGGGGCAGTTGTATGCATTGTTGTTATCAATGTAATTATGTCAATTTTAATGAAACGGGCAATAAACAATCGCTAAATTATAAACACGTTTGATGTGAATTTGTTGTCCGATGGCAGGACATGTATTAGAGACAACTTTAAAGGATGAGAAGATATGGAAAAAAATATTCAGGTTCGTTAAAGAATATGTCTAGTAGAAAAGAAGGAAAATAGTTTATTGACAAATGATGGAAATGGCGTAATACATTTCCAATCTTGCGCTGTAAATTGCACTTTCTTTGCATTACGGGATCTGTAGTGTTATGGTCAAAGACTAACATAAAAACGTACCGCTTCAGTTCTGCAGCTTAATCATATGATGCAATGCTTATAATGATTATTTTCCTCAATTTGTCATGTTTAAAAATTCCATGTTATCTAGTGTAAAATAGTTGTGTTTTATTGCATAATACTGGGTAATTATGACTCACCATAAAATGAGGATGTAAGAAGTAAAATCATAATATCATTAATAGTATTTTTCAATGCTCCAAATTTGTCCTATAGTCGGCACTCAGGGCCATTGAGCAGATAGGGATTTTTTTGTGCCAACACTAACTGCGACACAGGACCAGTCTCCACAATCCACAGTGAGATTCCTGCTCAATGGCCCTGAGTGCCGAGTATAGGACATTTGCAGCTCTCCATCGGCAGGTGGTGGCGTCTCCATAAGGGTGAACAATTATTGAGAGGGACGTTCAACAACATACAAACAATCAATCTATAGATCGAATAAAATAATTGTATCATGTGAACGTGTTTTCAGTTATCTTTTTATATTTAGCTAAATTATGAGCATGTGGCGGTGTACGATGTCAATAACAATGCCTTGTGAGAAGGCGGTATAATAACTTCATACAATGAAGATAAATTAATCAGTGTTTACAAACTTGTCAGTATATTCAGGGGCGTAGCTTGACTTTGATTTCTAGTGAGGCAAAACTATTGTGGCCGGGGGTAGAGCCCTGGTGGGGAGTTCAGGGGGCGAAGCCCCCCCTCCCCGACGCAATTTAATGTATTTGTGGGTTTTAGGATGTAAAAATAATACTGCCCTGGGCAGAAATTTCGCATTTTCCCCAGTTTTATGACTTCAGCATGCATATGACACTACGTGTACATACTGTATTTAAAAGTATTAAAGTAAAGGAAAAAAAATGTTTTTTTCGAACTTCTTACACATTTTTTTTCAATATCTAAATATTGAATTCGGCATCAATTGGAAAGATAATAGAATTATTCATGATCACTAGTTTACAGGGTCTGTGAAATACATGACGTCAACTAATTTTAATTTTAGACTTTCATTTTTTCCTTTTCTTAGAAAGGATGTCAAATGTGTCTGTCTCTCTTTTTTGTCTATATTTATTTTAATATATTCCACAAAATTACTTTTAGGTTTTAGAACTAGAGCCCGATTTCATGAATTTTGACCCTGAACATACTGATATGAAAGTACAATATTTTAATGAATTGTTTAAATGATAAATAAAAACATTTAGGTTTTAAAACGCAAATATTTTTTTTTCTTTGATGTATTAAATTTTGGGAAAGGGATGGTGCTGACAAATCTAGTGAGGCAGTTGCCTCATTGCCACAATGGAAGCTACGCCCCTGCTATTTACTTAAATAAAAAGGTATCAGGCTCCGGGCCATAGAACTGGGAAAAAAATAGTTGAGATACATATGCAAGAGCGACAAGAACAACATTGATTAAGATGATGTGGAAAAAATGAAAATAAAGGAAAGACCAAATTAGACTTCATTGATATAGGTGTACAGTGAAAATTATTTCTTGTTTATCGCATGTGCTAAAATTTTTCTTACACCACAAAGTCTTAACAGAAGTCTGTATACCTGACTGTCTTGCTCTCTTGCCAACATTCAATAGTTGAACCCACACTTTTCAAAAATTGACCGCCAGCTTTGGGGAAAAACCTAGAATCCTCACAGTAGCCTTTGAAGTCTTCAGGTTTGTAACTTTGTCATTTACCTGGGAAAAATCGTTCTATAGTGTATACTGATTGCCCCATGGTGGGGCTACCCACGCATTCAACGAAAACAAATTAAACACATTGTATTCATCATAGCCCGCCCAAATGTTTGGTAGCTTAAAGAAGAGAAAATTAATGTTGTGTCTTTCCCTTTTGACCTTTTGGTTGACCCCGCAAATGGACACAACTTTTGTTAAGTAAGGATTGGACTCTTTTCACTGATATGGAGATTTTTATTGTCTTCATTGCTAGAGATTGTATTTGTAAAATAAAAAGTACTCCTTGCATTTTTGCTTCTTTTACAAGAAAGAAACCTCTAAGAATACAAAATAGTTCCACGTATCATTTATTTAAATTTAGATTGCGTTGAGGCAAATTTATTACCCTGACAACATATAGAGAACTTCCTTGAACTTCACCAGCCGGGTAAATGTAGGATACGATACGTGAGTTAGTTTTCAAGAAAACTAAAAGTTTACAAACTTAAAGTAATAAAAACATTTAAATAATTTGCATCTTAATTAAAATAATATAAAACATCTTGCTTTAAAAGAAGAACAAAACAAGGCTATACTTTGTGTTCTGTGTAATCGCTGTTCTGCAGTGATATGTAAGTTAAAATGAAGGATTGAAATCATAGTTTTAAAATTGGTTTTATTTCTAATACATTCTGAAATTTACTACGAAAAGTAATGATTTGGTATACCATGCGACAGACTAGAGAGCACCGGCTGCGCTCATTCTGCAGCAATATTGACGCAAAATAAAGCGAGAAGCACTGCATTCCGTGTGTATAAACACACCATATAAAAAGGAAGAATACCTATCATCACGCATTGCAAAAGTTTTTAGCATACATAAATTATACTGAACGGATTATTTGGCCTTACTTGATCAGTACATTAATAATAAATTTAGAATGGCAGCTTTTGCAGTTGTCCTGAATATGTTGTCCTTTACTGCTGTGATACTAAACCAGTCTCCGACCGCTGATAGTGTACACCTTTATGCCAAGGAATTCCGACATTTTACGACAATTAATAAATCAAGAAACGTTAATACGGATGTCAATGAGGAAAGACATTGTTGATATGAAGAAGAAAATTGGGGAATTATTTTCAATTTGACCACGACAAGATCTCATTTTCATAAGATCATATACATGTACCTTCTTTTGTATATAAATGATTAATTCTGGTGGTTGCATTAATAAATTTGTTGCATTAAATCAATATTCATTTTCCTCTTTTTCCTTCTTCACGAATAGTAAAATGATGAAAATGCAAATTGGCCCTTTCCCCCTCCAACATCGAAACAAAAATATTTCCCAGTATAAATAATAATATTTTTTCTCTAAAAACAGATCTATATAATTCAGTTCCTTCACATTTAAAAAGTAATGACATTATGAGATTGTTACTATCTCGATACTTTACCGAGTTTTTGTACTGACTGCAGATCATTTTCTTTCGGGATAACTTTTCCTGTCGTCTCTCTGTCTGTTTGTTTGCTTGTCTTTCTGTCACAATTCATGTCTTTGGATCTTTTTACATTTGGTTCAAGGGTTACTGACATTGTGGCCTTGACCTTTTACATACTTTTTTAAACACTTTATAGTATTGGGGTTCGAATGGTGGGTGCTGACGAACTCTTACAATCCAAAGGATTGAAGAATTTAACCTGCCTCAATAAATAAACCAGGAATAGTTTTGAATTATTTCAATCTATTACGTTATACATTAATGCATTAAATGATGATATAAATGGGTTCCATGAACCAATCAGTGCTACACGAACCAATCTGCTTTATTGCAGGGTTATAGGTGACGATCATTCTACGAGATAAATAAAAGCAATTAGAAACTAGAGGTACTGTGAGCACTGAGCTAACTAAATGTGATACCTCGCCTCTAAAATGATTATAATGGCAAAGTTTATGCTTTGCTCTGAGAGACCCGAAATAAATAAATGTCAGATCAAAGTAAAATAAGAGGTGGACAATTGCATCATATAATAAAAGATCTGTATAATTATATTTAATTATAATTAAATTTTATTCTGTGGTATAGGAGAAGCAGCTGATAAGATAGGTATCCCTTTAAGAGGTAGTCCACTGAAAATCAGGCAATGGGTGGCACATCGAATGTCATGGATTTTTATTATTTTTTGCATAGAGACTTTTTAAAGGAAGTGTTTACACATGACAACATCAAAAGAAATTTTAGTGCTCCACTAGTCCTATTTTTTGGTAAGTGTTCAATTTTAAGTGCAAAAAGGTCAACATGGGGTAAAAAAACAACCACGTTTTTATTTTGTTTTATATGTACCAGATACGCAAAACCTGAATGTGTCTATCAATATTATTTATACCATAGACACTTATCTTTAATTTTAGTAATGAATAAGACTCCAATTTATATTTCTTTAGAAAAAAATATGTGGTCCAAAATTGAGTTTAGCAAGTAACTTTTTGAATTCATTATCCAATTTTCATTACGTTATAAAACCCAATACATTTCAATGACAGATTTTTTTTCTCATGTTATTATGAATACAAAGTACAAACTTTTGAGTCACTCAATAAAATCAGTGGGCACCCGTATATATGAGAGAAAAAGAAGATAAATTTACCTATATTTTACAATTTTTCTCAATTAAACCGATCCCGACCGGAATTTATAAAGAAGAAAATACTGTAACTGTAATGTTGAATTCGGCTCTTTTGTTGTAATATTGTAAAAAAAATTACTTGATTTATTTTTTACATGTCTTTTAAGTGACAGTTGTCTTTCGTTTTATAGCTTTAAACATTTTGCATTATTTTCAATCGGTATCGATTTTATTTCAATCGGGATTAGTTTTTACCGTAAAACTAGAAATTTTCTGCATTTAATGTATCAGAAAAAAATATGCTTGTCTTTTATTTCTGTTCAGTTAGTCAACTGTTTTAAAACTATTTTATCCATGGATTCAAATGTTTATACAATGTATTTAAAATACTAATGTCTTTTACATGTTTTACGTTACATGAAGATTACAATCATGTATAACATCTGTTCGATTTCTTGATACTCGGTATTAAAAAAAAACCCAAGTATTTGTACATGTATGCATTATGCAACAACTGAGAGTAAACAGCTTATCTTTATTAAATATCTTATTTCCAACTAAAGTTTTTTTTTAATTCTCTCGTGAATTAAAGAGTAAAATTCTATCATTGGCGAAAATATACTTGCACGTACCTAAATGCAGAAAATATTTAAATGTGCACAGTCTCTGCCTTATCCAAATTTTTTAAACCTGTCATCTATAAAAGCCGTTTCCCCAATATTTTCATCTTATAAAATTTAGTTTTATATTTATAAAAAAAATAAGTTATTTCATATATAGTATCATCATTTAAGAGCCTATAAATCGCAAGCAAAAAGCCGGGACGGGATGGGTGGGGATGGGGGGGGGGGGCAATTTTAAGGCGGCACATTAAAAAAAACTTTCATTAATCGGAAAAATTTTAGAATTGGCCAACATGGTCACATTTTTTAACTTCATATTGAATGTGAGTATGTGATTGTTTCAATCACCGAATTGAACCCAAAAAAAAAGACCAAACAAAAACAAAAAATACGCCCACGAAATCTTCCGTTTTAGTGGCAAATTGAAGTGGGGAGTTCAACAGTAATTTTCCTCAATAAATATTTTTTAAATCTTATTTTTCACTTTTTTAATATATTTTAAATCGTACCGCGGATGTAAAAATATCATGAAATAAACATCTCAACTCCGTTGACTTGAATTAAATGTTGCGTAAATCTAAATACTAGTATTCATCTTTCCTTGATAATCAGAAGAAAATAAAATCTCTTCACTAGCTCCTTTTTATTTTGTTTGTCGCATGAAGGTCCTTCACTCGACAAACAAAATAAAAAGGAGCTAGTGAAGGTTTGATTTTAATCAGACTGAGCAGAGACGTCGCCCGTGAAATAAATACATTTTATATAAAAATATATGATTATTTAACATGTAGGATAATGCACTCTGAAAAGTAATTAAACAGAAAAAGAGAAATTATTTATTTTTAATCGTTTTATTTGCGCTTTTATGCAAAGAATTTACAAACTTCTTTGGAAAACTTGTAACTATTTAATTGTGACGCAATATTAGTCAGGTGTATGACGTCACTGATACATCAATGGAAATAATACTGCCAATCTTACGTTTAAAGGCGAAAATGAATTCTATTTTGAAAATAAAGTAGTAATTTTTTGTTAAATAATTTTATTTTGTGTATATATTCTAAATATTTCACTAGGATTTCGATAGTAAGGTGTTTAGCAGATTTACCGATGCCACGGGAGATAACTCTTACATCGCAAAATTTCATAAAAACGTCTCTATATTTTGACAGAAAACTACTATCAAAAGTGTTTTGCCCACCAATTTTATTTTTGAAACTGAAAGACAAAATATTTCTAGATATAGTTCAGCGTGAATTATAGTCCTGTTAAATAAGTATTGGAAATTACAGTTCTTTGTTTCTGACCTAAATTCAAAGGTTATATAGGGGAATTCAAGAACACGAAACAAAAGGATATTTTACTAAATAAGCAATTTTAAAACAAATCTTCGATTACATTATTCCATTTGGACTACATTGATATTGTTTTCAATAAAATTTCAAATATTCGTCACATTCGATGTGCCGCCTATTAATGCAACCCTGCCTGGTTTTTCGGCGGACTACCTCTTAATATTATAGAAAGAATGGCAGTGTCGGTGTTTTGCTATGAAAAACTCGAAATATGTGCCCCATCAAAAAGTAAAAAAGGAGGTGCACAATGGCACTATGTACATGTAACTAGAGGTACTCTGAGCAATCTCACTAAATGATACCCCCGCCTCCAATATGGTTATAATGGCAAAGTCCATGTTTTGCTGTGGCCGGGAAACCTAAAATATGTGTCGGATCAAAAAGTAAAATAGGAGGTGCACAATGGCAATATATAATAAAGATTCTGTGAAACTTTCATCAAATTTCACTCAGTGGTATAAGAGGAGTTGCGGATAAAAGATGGGTACCCCAAAGCGTAACAGACGGACGGACGTACAGCTAGACAGATGGAGGAACACCACCACACTATAAACACCCCTGCTTTTCAAGCGGGGGTATGGATATATTGAAGTTGGCGAGTCAATTTGAGATTTTCTCTAGTAAATACCATCTAGCTCCCTTATCAACTAAAGGCAGGGTAATTTATAACAAGTATTATGGACCATCTATATAGCACTTCTTATTATACCCCCCGCTTGAAAAGCGGGAGGGTATATAGTGATCGGGATTTCCGTCCGTCCGTCCGTCCGTCCGTCTGTACGTCCGTCCGTCCGTCGTCCGTCCGTCCGTCTGTTACGCTTTGGGGTACCCATCTCTTATCCGTAACTCCTCTCATACCACTGAATGAAATTTGATGAAACTTTCACAGAATCTTTATTACATATTGCCATTGTGCACCTCCTATTTTACTTTTTGATCAGACACATATTTTGGGTTTCCCGACCACAGGAAAACATGGACTTTTTCACCAGTTATAACCATATGGGAGGCGGGGGGTATCATTTAGTGAGCTCATCGCTCACAGTACCTCTAGTTTTATAGACTTTTATAGACTTCAGTGCAATAAATTCAGAGTATTAAAGTAGTTGACACCGGATTACACTGCATAAACATAGTCGTTCGGAATTGGGAAGTCTTATGAGTTTTTAGGTAAACACTCCTATCTCCTTTTGCTACAAATTTTGCTATCAGTCGTTTGGTTTGGCGACGTAAGTGATCAAAGCTTTTCTAGGTTATATACTACTACATAATTGAAATATAGGCCTATATCTTTAGTATCATAGAACAAAAAATCTCGCATGGTTTGTTTGTTTGTTGTTTAACATCCATTTTGAGAATTTTTTCACCCTTCACTGACGCCACCACTTGCCAGCGGAGAGCTGCAAAGTTTGTCCTTTCAGAATTCTCTACAAAATGTTATCATCGCTAATTTTTATGGTTTGAATGCAAAGAGAATCTCAGCATTTGAGAAAATTATATTCAAAATATTAAAATTTTATAGTTATGTGTACATAGACAACATAAGTTTCTTCAGTAATGTGTACGGGTCTGTTCCATGTTGACCGTTTTCAAATTATCGTGCAATACTAACGCCCAGAGATTTCCTTCTAAAACAACAGTTTACAGTCAGTCTATGGAGTTTTGTCTCAATTTGCAAGTTTACAAGTATGACACTGTTTTGGTTTACATTCTCAAACTAAATTTAACATTAGTATCCATGAAGTTTAATTTTTTTTCCATATGGTGGATATTCTTGAAATACTAATGTATTTTTTTTGACAGGGCAACATGTTTCATGTCTTTCCACTTTTACGACGGGTATAAGAAGATAAAACCAGGTACCCCGGGAAAATTTAATCAACTCATGTACCGCTACAGTCCGGGTGCTTGCTCTCAACGATATTGCGGTCCGAATTTCTGCTGCTGTAGATTTTGATTATAAAGTTAATGCACAACTCTATCATTATATCAGACGAAAAACACATCATTTGAAATTCTTTGAGACTCCTGAGTGACCAGTGTACATTTGATTTGGTTTCACTTGTTAAATATAAGTTTAACAAACAGATAATTGCCTGGTATTTTGCAAAAAAAGTTATTTTTTATGCATGTAATGTTGTTTATATCAATGTAATTTTATATTAAAATCTGTAATATGACGACTTGGCAATTAAACAGTATCTTATAAACATCAGTATTATATTCTGTGTATTTATCCACTTAGTATAACAGCTAGTGGATGTCGCTTCCGTCTTCCTGTTAGGAAGTTAGTTCTCTAATAAGCCGATCGAGGGAATAAAACATCTAAAAAGGTGTACATCAGGAAATTTTCTGGCCATGGTATGTATATTGCATATATGCATGTTCATGTAATTAATTCTTTCACGAAACATTCTATCGAATACATCATTGTGTAAACTCTTTGGTCTCAATTAATGGTGTCAAACAATCTTGAGTCGAATTGACGGGAACGGCAGATATAAATCGCGTGCAGTTTGGCGCTGAAGGTGTGACTATGCAAATGAACATGACACAATATACAGAGGATGCGATCGGACCTTTCCATTGGTACAAATATTGACTTTGCTATTGGCTGTCCAGGCACGTAGCATCGTTTTTGAAAGTGGGGGGCCAACCTGAGAAAAATTTTTTTACTTGCCTAAAAAAAAAAATTGACAAGCAAAAAAAAAAAAAAAAAAAGGAAATTAAAAATTGCCAAAACTCGAAAATCCTATTTCGTGGGGGGGGGGGGGGGGGGGGGGGGGGGGGGGGTATTGGACAACTTTTTCAAAGCCAACTTACTATCACCTTCAATTTTTTCCTTACCATCCCTGCTATCACTATACTATGGTTATAAAGTGGGGGGGCCAACACCCTCTCAATGAACATTTACTATAGTAAAGGCTATGTTGGGAAAAAAAGTGGGGGGGGCCAGGCCCCCCCTGGCCCCCCCGGATGCTACGTCCCTGCTGTCTTTAGCACAAATGTTAAACAATGTTACAATCGGTTGCTTTAAAACTGTGAATGGTATATCGATTAACCAATGACAAAACAGTCAAAGACTTCTATACCAACAGTTAATTGTGAAAAGAGAATCATTAATGGCATCACTGGGTTCTTAATAATCATCAATGGTAATCAGTGGTTACCAACGCCAAATGTTTAGTTTTTCACCATTTCTCAGAAATAACAATTTCAATAAGAAGTTTATTTGTTGCACTGCTTATACTGTAACAGGAGAGGAGAAAATGTATGGCTGGACCAGGAATCGAACCCGAGAGTAGTCAGGTGCTCTACCGTATGAACTAACCATGGTTCAAACCATTACACCCCTCTATCCTGAAATGGTCTTCACAATCGAAGACACAGCCAAAGTTCTAATTTGGGTCTGGCAGGACTTTCACCTGTATTTGAGAGGTGGTCAACGGCGCAAAATCTGTAACAGAAGAGGAAAAAACAAAAAGTCTTATTCTATTTGTTGAACTGCTTAAACTGTAACAGGAGAGGAGATAATGTATGGCTGGACCGGGGATCGAACCCAGGACCCCTGCATCACTGGTTCTGGGTCAAATTGAGCTACACAGGCCGAAATCCACGACTCAAACCATTACAAAACAAAACTGGAGGTACTGTGAACAAAAAACTAAATGATACCCTGCCTCCCATATGAATACAATGTCAGCCTGCCCCACTTTTTTCCCAGCCTTACTTATACTATAGGAAATGTTAATAGAAAGCTTGGTTGCCCCCCCCCCCCAATTTAGTGATGTACCGAAAATGTAGTATTAGAATTGGTACTTGAAGTAGTTGACACTGAGAAAAAGTCAACCTACCCCCCTCCCCCCACCCACCCCACGAAATAGGATTTCCGACTTCGGGCAAGTTTTACCTTTTTTTTTTTGCTTGTCAACTTTTTCAGGTAAGTAAAAAAAAAGTTTCTCTGGCTGCCCCCCCCCCCCCACCCACTTTCAAAAACGATGCTACGCGCCTGGTCAGTGTCCATGTTTTGCTATGGGAAACCCAAAATATGTGTCGGATCGAAAAGTAAAAATAGGAGGTGCACAATGGAAATATGTAATAAAGATACTGTGATAGTTTAATCAAATTTCATTCAGTGGTATGAGAACAGTTGCATTGCTGGTAAAGTGCGAATCGAGAAAATATTGGTTTCGGACACCAGCTACTATAGGTTTACATCAATGAGACAGTTTATGTCAACTAAACGATCAGAAATGATAGAACGTTTGATTGAAACGTAGTTGTTCAGTATGGTTCCGTGCTGCAGAATTGCTTGTTGGTTGAATACATATAAGGAGCAATCCAGTATTATACCGCTTTAGGTCACACCCGTCCAATGTACTTTACTGGATCTATTCCTATTTGCTATTATTTGCTTTTTACGTGTTAAACAAGATTTACGCTACATTATTTGTGTTAAAGTGATATGAGTACATTTATATACTGTATGAATCATTTATGATTTCCCATGTCGCTAATGTTTCACAAGATTAAAACTTTTGATGCAATATAAAGTTTTCTGATAACAGCGCGAGTATGGCTGCTGTTTGTGCGACTCTTGGCACCTGTAATTGCTACGATTGGCTTCTGTTCTGTTTCATAAGGTGCAACGTTTTACTGCTGTATCATAAATATATTGTTTTCCGTGAAATATATTTAAATTTTAATATTGACACATCAGATAGTGCAACGTCATTGAATAAACCCCCAAAACAAATACATCCAAGTCGAGGATTGGTTGCTTCTATCAAATGTATTTAAAATGTATTGTATATACAACCCCAACATAATTTGTTCCATAATGTGAAGAAATAAAGGATTTACTCAGTAAAAATACAAAATTCACTATGGTTAGTTAATATTGGATTAGTTTATATTCTTAAAGATCACGAATTTGTTTCAGTAAAATATGTTACTGGAGTATATGTTCATTAACGTTCTATCCCAAAGTTCAATTTTAATAATTCCAGTTTCATTCTGTAAGTCATCTTCAATTGATTACCGGGTACATGTATCTAGAATTTTAGAGTTACAAACTTTCTATGCATGCAGAAGAAACAAAAAGACCTTGGACCCCCCCCCCCACCCCACCCCATTGAAAAAAAAGATTGGATTGACCTCTCTTTAATGAAATTTACATTTATTTGAAGGGAATAGAGTTGATGCATGTGAGTGTGTTTGAATTTTTTTATCACCTCCCTGAATAGTTTTTTTAACCTTTGACTTTGAAAGATGACATGGACAGGTAATAAGTATTTCCGATAATTAACTTATATGTATGGCACGTCAAATTCACAAAAATAAGCAAAACATAGTTTCACAGGCGATAAACTAGGTTTATCGGTTGTAAACTATAGTTTACGGACTGTAAACTATAGTTAACAACGTTAATCTATGTTTTACATCTGTAAACTATAGTTAACGCGATAATCTATGTTTCAGAACCGTAAACTATACTTAACACCTAAAACAGTCATCTGCGATTGCAAAACATAGATTATCTGAAAAATACAGTTTCACGATTGTAAACTATGGTTTACAACTCTTAACTATAGTTAACGATCGTAAATTATACTTTACAGACTTGAATCTATGTTTATCAGCAAAATCTATTGTTAACGTTTTATTACAGACAGATAAACTTAGATTAGCATTTGTAAACTATAGTTAACAACCGTTAGATATAGTTTTACAAATGTAAACTATACTTAACGAATTGTAAACTATAGTTCACGGTTTGTAAACTATAGTTTACAGTCGTCGATAAACCTAGTTTATCAATTGTGAAACTATGTTTAGCACGCCAAATTCACAAAAATGAGCTAATCATAGTTTCACAGTCGATTAACTAGGTTTATCGGTTGTAAACTATAGTTTACGGACTGTAAACAATAGTTAACAACGTTAATCTATATTTTACGTTTGTAAAATTAACCATAGTTAACGCGATAATCTATGTTTCAGAACCGTAAACTATACTTAACACTGAAAACAATCATTTGCGATTGCAAAACATAGATTATCTGATAAATACAGTTTCATGATTTGTAAACTATGGTTTACAACTCTTAACTATAGTTAACGATCGTAAATTATAGTTTACAGACGTGAATCTATGTTTATCAACAAAATCTATTGTTAACGTTTTATTACAGACAGATAAACTTAGATTAGCATTCGTAAACTTTAGTTAATAACCGTTAAATATAGTTTTACAGATGAACACTATACTTAACGAATCGTTAACTATAGTGTCCGGTTTGTAAACTATAGTTTACAGTCGATAAACCTAGTTTATCAATTGTGAAACTAGGTTTAGCTCATTTTTGTGAATTTGGCGTGCCATATATATGGAATATTTCAATATCTCAACAAAATATTATCATATTTGAATGACTTACAGACACCAGTCTATTTATTAAACATGCAGACCCGTTATTTTTCAATGTATATGTAGGAGGGATGAGGTTCGCAGGTGATTGACAAGCCAACAAAAAATGTCCAATCCCAGAAGAACAAAGCTGCAGAACTGCAGTGTTAACTTATGGTTTCATGTTTTTATCTTTGACTATAAATACTTAGATATAAACCATAACACTGTTCGTTCTGCAGCCAGGAAGAACAGTCCTATTTCTTCGCGTGCGTTGGACCTTTTTCTAACTATTCCATTTTCCACAACGGCCATCTTTGCTAGCCAAGGGTTTACTTTCCTCATAAACTGAGGAGAAAAACGTATCAGAAACCATTGGTCAGCGAAGATGACAACTGCTGATTTGCAAACCTTACGGTTAGCTGCAGGAATGTTGCTCTCCGAAGACGGGAGAGCTACAGTGTCACCAACTGGAAAAATATATATCTATTGTGCATAAAAGTGCGCTGCTTCTCGGTTTCAAACTCTCATATTCTCAAAATATTTCTAACTGGGTGTTCCAAATAAATTCCTTTGCAATTTTCACTTACTATTTCTACAACAAACAACTGTTGTAAATATCCCTCCATGAAATTGAGACCATCAAATTTCGCATTTTTACTGTCCTTTTTAAGATGACAAGGTACAAATCGTTTTGATTGCAACACGCTTCGTGAAGAAGTCTAGAGGGCATGATTTTTTTTTAGCTTTTGTGCAGTCGAGATAAGAATTTGGAGGAAATAATTCAGTTCCAATCGCAGCTTTTGTGCGCAGTGTTTTTTAAAACAGAGTTTTGTTTGGGTGGCACTGAAGCAATTCAGTTGTCTATCTCATTTTTTCCCCTCAGACCAGCTACCTTACGGTTACAAAAAGGTTTGGGGGAGCATGTCTACAAACAAAATTATAAAAATGAATCAAAACTATAGCAAAAAGACTATTTTCAGGAAATAAAGTACACACTTAACTGGCATACTACTTGCCTGAGATGTTACTGAATTGTTGACTACACGCAACACAATTCTAAGGATGCTAACATCGTGCTTTGAATAAATATAATTTGCAAGGAAATATATAACCATTATGCATCCGTTTATTGCTTTAAAAAGTTTGACCGCTTGATCACAACATTTGCATGAAAAATATGTATACCTGGTGCAGTTTTAAATTATTTGGTGTCATCATCTTGCTCATTTATACCATATCACTGTATTTAAAAGAAACAGAAGAATATAACCAAAAACACAATATCCGTAAGAGGAATTGATGGAACATATTGCATTGATCCAAGAAATGATCAAGAATGATTATAAATTACTAAAACTAATATTCTTTTTATGGAAGTTTGAATAATTTCATATTATTCACGTTAAGTAACATAAACCAACAGTTTCAGAGACGTAAACCAGTTGTCGCATTTACACAAATAAAATGTCGTCTGTGTCAAAATTTTACAGAAACCAGTTGTAGCACCAACAAAATGAACTTGCTAGTTATCGGTAAATCCCATGGAAATAATTCATTAAGAGCACATTTTAAGCTCACCTGAGCCAAAGGCTCAAGTGAGCTTTTCTGATCACATTTTGTCCGTCGTCCGTCCGTCCGTCCGTCCGTCTGTCTGTCCGTCTGTAAACTTTTCACATTTTTGACTTCTTCTTAAGAACCACTGGGCCAATTTTGACCAAACTTGGTACAAAGCATCCTTGGTTAAAGAGGGGTTAAAATTGTTAAAATAAAGGGCCAAGTTTCCTCACAAGGGGAGATAATCAAGAAAAGGCAAAAATAGGGTGGGGTCATTAAAAAATCTTCTTCTCAAGAACCACTGGGCCAGAAAAGCTGAAACTTATGTGGAATCATCTTAGGGTAGTGTATATTCTAAATTGTTCAAATTATGACCCCCGGGGATAGGGCGGGGCCACAATGGGAAATCAAAGTTTTACATAGAAATATATGGGAAAAATCTGTGAAAATCTTCTTCTCAAGACCCACTGGGCCAGAAAAGCTGAAACTTATGTGGATGCATTCTGGGGTAGTGTAGATTTTAAATTGTTAAAATCATGAACTCCGGGGATAGAGCGGGGCCACAATGGGGAATCAAATTTTTACATAGAAATATATGGGAAAAATCTTTGAAAATCTTCTTCTCAAGAACCACTGGGCCAGAAAAGCTGAAACTTATGTGGAAGCATCCAGGGGTAGTGTAGATTCTAAATTGTTCAGATCATGACCCCCGGGGGAAGGGCGGGGCCACAAGGGGGAATCAAAGTTTTACATAGAAATATATGGGAAAAATCTTTGAAAATCTTCTTCTCAAGAACCACTGGGCCAGAAAAGCTGAAACTTATGTGGAAGCATCCTAGGGTAGTGTAGATTCTAAATTGTTCAAATCATGACCCCCGTGGGTAGGGCGGGGCCACAATAGGGAATCAAATTTTACAATGTTGAATCAAAGCATCCTATGGTAGTGTAGATTTCAAATTGTTTAAATTATGATCAGTTGGGTAAGGTGGGGTCACAATATGTATTACAATGAGGGAATCTGTTAAAGAACGGAATGGTCAAAGCTTCTCAGGTGAGCGATGTGGCCCATGGGCCTCTTGTTTTGTGTTCAGGGCATTAAATAACGTTGAATTAAAGTTAAATTTATCCACTTAGCTGTCCAATTAGTTCTGTGGTACTTAATTCATCATTCGAATGCGAGTACATGAAAAACACGATGTAAGCAGCCATTAACATGTAACATTTCCATAATGAGCCCTTTTCAGGTATAAAAGCAATCTGATCGCTTAACTATTTAATAAATTTGCTTTCTAGAAAGTTATTTTTATGTGTTATATCAAATTAAAAAATATGTATTAAACCAGATAATTCACAGGTACCAATAGTAGCTGATGTCCGAAACCAAGATTTTCTCGATTCGCATTTTACCAGCAATGAGTTGTGGATAAGAGATGGGTACCCCAAAGCATAACAGACAGACGGACGTACAGACGGACGGACTGACATATGTAACGATTACTGTATACGCTCCCGCTTTTCAAGCGGGCGGTATAATGAAATTATTCTTATGGAAATAACTGTATGAACACTTATCTTCAGTTGATATATTCATTTGCCAAAAAGCATTTATTTGTACAGATGACTTTGAAAAACAAAAAATATCTATTGGTATTTCAGCCGCGAATATGGTTGGCCTGTAGCATCGGTAACCAATAAATGTTAATATTGGTCAACCACATTCGCGGCATCACCAATATTAACCAGTGGAAGCATTTGTGAAGGACCCAGAGGAAGGAAATTATTGTCCATGGAAGACTTGGCAGTCTCTTTGCTGCGCTAATCGACTGTCACGTCTCCCTGTTCAACTAATTCCTTAGATTGTAAATACAAAATAAATATTTATATAATCATTATTCATTATCACTAGGTGATAGTTTAAGTAAGTCGCTTACCTTGAATTAATCATTTCCAGGAAAATATTGTAATAATGGATTTCTCAGACGAAGTTCTGCAAATGTACGCAGAAATCAAGGAGAATTCAACATATGATTACATGATCTGCAAGTTTAATAATGGTCGACTGGTCATTGAACACATAGAAAAAGTGGAAAACGATAAGTCAGGTATATCATATCCTCTTCAGGGGAAATATACACTTACTACAGGGATTAAGGGGAAGTGGCAAAGAAATGTGTTTCTCATATTTTATTAACGTGCTCTCCAATGTTTATCAATAAGGGTTGTTGTTAGATTACCATTAACGTCTTTTTCTAGTAAAATATCTAAAATTAAATATGTTTTAATATGAAACAGAAGTCTCAGAATCTGTGGTATCTTTTATTTTAAGCTAAATGGATTATATTTTGTCGACATATGAATGGAAATGAATATTGCTAACAATGTGTAACATTCCATTTCTATATTAATCTGTATTCATAGCGATTAACCAATTTCATAGACAGAAATTACTCGTACGAAGAATTTACAAAGAAGTTAAAGGGAAAGCAAACATTTCGTTATGGGTTTGCTACTTTTGATTGGATTGAAAATGAAGACATCTCTAGAAAGACAGTAGGGGTTTTATGGTACGTATAAAAATACGTCAACACATTTATGTGCATTGAGATATCAACATTACATCTCGTCTTTTATAATACAGATGTGTTGATATGTTTTTGATATTTTCTTTTTTTCTTTACTTCAAATCACATCAAATAAATATAAAAGCATACAAAACAATGATAAAAAAATAAGTGTGACAAAGAAAAGTCCAAAAAATTAAGAGAGAGGGAGAGCAAAACACCAATCTACAAAAGAAACAATAGCAAAAATATTGAAATCAATAATAATACACATCACGTAAGAAATCAAAGCACACCACTATGTTAAAATTACAAAATAAAAATTGGCCCTTTCAAACTATTACAGAAAAGATTCGTCTTATTCATTTTCAAACATCGGACATACTGGGGAAAATTCTGAAATACGTACCGCCGACTTGGTGATAAGCAATAAACAGTAATCAATCTGTCACAATCTATTAAAATTGATTTTGTCTGGCTGTTATACCTCTCGATGAACTCTAACTCGTTAGTTCACCTGAACCGAAGGCTAAATTAAGTTTTTTTGATCGAAATTTATCTGTTGGCGTTAATTGTCGTTGTTAACTTTTCACAATTTCATCTTCTTCACCAGAAGTACTTGGTCAATTTCAACTATACTTGGCACAGCGTATCCTTGGGTGAAGGGTATTCAAGTTTGTTTAAATTTCTTTTTTCCAAAGGGTGATCATTACCGGTACGAGATAGGAAACCTCAGAGTTTTTCATGTGTAATCTTGGGGTAAGGCAGGGGGAAAATTTATCCCCATTTCTTTTTTTAACTTATATATCAATGATTTAGAAAATTATTTATTGCAGAATAATATTGAAGGGATTAAGAGCTTAAGTGAAAAATAGAAAATGAAATACAGATTATGTCTAAATTATTTATACTTTTCTATGCTTACGACACCGTTTACTATCTGATAACCCAGATGATTTACAAAGAATATTTTTTCTGATTATTTTGACTACTGGAAATTTCAAGTAAATACAGACAAGACTAAGATAGTAATTTTTCTACAGGAAGATTCTGAAAAAAATATTTTTGTACAGAGAAGCACCAATTGCAATTGTGAACGAATTTAAATACTTAGGTGTTATCATGTCTCGTAGTGTTTTTTTCAAACACACTTAACTAAACAAGCTTCAAAAGCAATGTATAGAGTACTTAGAAAGATAAGGTATTTCAATTTGCCAGTACAATGTCAAATAGATCTTTTTGACAAAGTTATAAGCCCAATTTTGTTGTACGGGTGTGAAGTTTGGGGCTACGAAAACATAGATATCTTGAAAAAGGTACACTTAAAATTTTTGAAATTTGTTTTGCATATTAAGTCCAATCCCCCAAATTGTATGGTGTATGACGAAACTGGGCGATTTCCTTTAAAAATACGTATAAAGGTACGAATGATTACTTACTGGGCTAAACTTTAGATATCACATGAGAGTAAGCTGACATGCATAATGTATTGCTTTCTTTATTAACACTTTTCTGAATGATCATTTATGCACCCATGGTTGAAATGTATAAGAGATATCTTGAATTCCTGTGGTCTGTCTTATGTGTGGATGAATAAAAATTTCATTAGTATTACATGGTTAAAATCTATTGTGAAAGAAACGTTGTTAAATCAATATTTACAAGACTGGCATATGAGCATAGCAAATTCATCTAAATGTTTAAATTACAGGATTTTCAAAAACAATTTTGGACAAGAAATGTACTTAAGTAAACCCCCAAAAGACTTAGAATTGTATTATCAAAATTTAAAACTTGTAACCAAAAACTTCCAGTCGAAGCTGGTAGATGGACTAATACTGAGAAATCTTTAAGAATTTCTAGTTTATGTACCAAAAATACTATGGGTGATGAATTTCATTATGTAATGGAATGTCCATATTTTTCGACTTTACGTGTAAAACTTATAGATAAGAAGTATTTTTCTCATGTAAATACTTATAAGTTTGTGAAAATTATGTCCATCACAAATGTTGACTCGCTGTTAAAACTTTGTTTGCTAAAAAGATATTGGCTGCTTTCAGTAACTATTTTTTATTTGACACTACTCTTCCTTACTTGACTTTGTATTTTGTTTAAATGTAAATATGTTCCTGTACTTCATATACCATTGTGTGGTCTGAGAGTAAATAAACACACAAGATAGCAAAAAATTAGAGGCATCATTGAAAAACTCTTCTCAAGAACCAATAGGCAGGAAAAATGAAACTCACGTGGAATCATTGTCAGGTAGTATAGATTCAAGTTTGTTCAATTCATTACCACCTAGCGTATGAAGGGGCCACAATGAACCATCAAATATTTACATAAGACTATATAGAAAAAATCTGAAATCTACTCAAGAACAGCAATGCAATGATTGGTTATACGTCGAGTATTTTGATGCGTATTTATGTGAAATGAAGGAAATGGAGATAACGAACAGTATTCAATATCAAAGTCCATAAAACAATACAAAATAGGAGCAGAGCAAACACTGACCTCCAAAACATCGGAGGTGGGATCAGGTGCCATTGAGGAATGAGCATCCCCTGCGACCGGTCACACCCGCCGTGTGCTCCTTGTTATGATCGGAAAATAACGGAAAAATCCGTCATCGTCAATTCAGTGTATAAATAATGGACTAACAATTAGTATGAAAAAACGTTAGTCAGCATTTGACTCAATGATAAATTGTATTTGTTGACAAGGTTGTTGTATCGACCATAGAACTTACAAAATGATGACTTTAAACGAGACTGCTGGGATTCTTGTTTCGTCAACTTGCTTGTCAATAATTTAACTCGTTTTAGAAACTGTTCATAAGTAGAGCATGTTCTTGCGTATCGAATCAACTGAGATATATAAATTCCGTATGCAGGTGATGGAGGTATATAGCTGCATAAGTACGGGAAGTTGACGATAGAAAAGTGGCAGGATGGGGCCATAATAGACGATTAAGGATTTAGATAGGGTTACATGTATATATCTTCTAAAGTACATCAAAGCAATGATTGGTTATCTTTATATGGAAGCAATTTCAGATAGTATAGATTCAAGTTCGTTCAAATCATGACCCCTGGGGATAGGTTTGGGCCAAAATGGATAATCAAAGTTTTACATAAATTCTTTAAAACTTTACTCTTCTCCAGAACAGCAAAGCCATGATTGGTCATATGTATTTGAAAGCATTCTCAGGTAAAGCTGGTTCAAGTTTAATTTGTTCAAATCTTGACCCCAGAGATAAGGTTGGGCCACAATGGAAGTTTGTTCAATTTGCTCCAATCTTACCTCCTCCATTCCCTCCCTTTCCCTTTTAGGGGTACATGTAGGTCAGGACCACTTATGAATTTTAGCCTTTCAAAAGTAATTTTTTCCTAGCTACAGTGCTCAAGTGAGCGGTGTGGCCTCTGGGCCTCTTGTTCTCGAAGGGAACCAACTATACCTACAGAATTTGGAGGACGTTATATTGAAACCCTGAAATTGGTTTTACGTGCAGATTTATTCATAGAAACCTCCAGTGGATGGAAGCTTTACAGTTCAACAATAAAATGGGAGTTCCAGTGTTTGGTATGTACCGGGTATACTAGTATTTATGGATTAACATAATACTGATTTTAATTAATCATTTTATTTTTGTCAACTCTAAATTAAGACTTTTCCTTTAAAAAATAAAGCTCCGTTTGATTTTCAAATTTACCATGTAATCAAAATAGGCAAATGAAGGCACCCTTACTTATGTTGAAAAAATGTTAAAGTTAAATTAGGGATACTGACTTGCATTTCCTTAACCATTGATTTTCAAATGATTTGTTTGCATATTATTCAACAGGTTGGGACCAATCGTCCGAATGGGATATATCGGTTTTAGTCTGTTTAGGATATAATATCCCAGATGGGATATTTTACACTGCAATAAATGATTTTTTATACTTTTATAATAAATATAAATCCGCATTAAGATACTTATAAAGGAATAACTTTTGGTTAACAAGTTTGTCTGTATGACCATTGTTTAGGAGATTGATCCCTCGGAACTTCTTGAGGATCAATGTAACAAAATGTAGGGTTGAAGAAAAACTTGCCTGCCAAAAGCTATTCCTTTCAAAGTATTTTGATGCAAATTTATGATATTTCTTACCAGAATAAAAGTTTCCCTTCGCACTGTAAATCTATATTCCAAACAGGCTATTATATCCCATTCGGACAATTGGTCCCAACCAGTTCAATTGATTCCTGTGATTTAATTGTAAAATAATAATGTCATTTTCTAGGAACGAGATAGACCGATGGATATTGAAGATGAAGTATTACAAATGTATTATGATATCACAGTCAATGGGAGATATGATTACATGATATGCAAAATCAATAACAATCGACTGGTCATTGAACATGTCGAACAGTCGTCAAATACAGACCAAGGTAAAATTATATAAATATACAGATCACTGTTAAGATATATTCCTGGCTTAATGACCAAGGAAGGGCTCAGTTTATCATATATGCATATTGACAATTCAGTGTGTTTTTGAATATGTTGTTAGTTAAGAATATTTACTTGCAGAGTTTCCGTGAGGATGATTCAAGATTATTTGCTGAGCTCAATCATGTCAATGATTAGGGGGAAAAGCTTAACAAAGTTGTCTTTAATTTTGGCCTTTTTGGAGCAAACACTTTCAAGCATAATAACAGCGATACAATTTGATTGATATACATGTAATGTACTGATACATGTAGATAATGAGAGTGTATTTAGAACAAAAAAATATAATCGTACAGATACATACTTATATAAAAGAAATTTATCTTTAAATAGACAGATCAGATACATATGAAGATTTCAAAAAGAAAATGACAGAGAAACAGAGTTTTAGATATGGGTTCGCCACATTGAACTTGACAGTTGACGGAGAAGTTTGCAAAAAGACAGTTGGTATTTCCTGGTAAGTTTAATCAATTTTAATTAATACAGAAATATATTA